TATCAGCACGTATAATTATTAGTAAGCGATTTCAATTGAACGTCATGAAAATAAAAATAAACTTTTTAAAATTTACATTATTCTATATCGCATTAAATAAGTATCGCTAACAAGGAAAACTTAATATTGATATAAATTTTGAAAATAAACGTGTCACCTTTGCCTTTACCTCTTCTAGGCCACAAAAAGTCAAAGTGCAAGAGAGTAGTTTCAGACTTACTAGGTTTTCCATGACTACAGTATGTTAATAAAAATAAAATATAGTAATTAGCCTAATTTGAAAAAGAGAGTAAAAATATTGCCTATCTATATCTAATTAACGTGATTAAGATTAAAAAAAAAAGAGTCAATTCTACTTGTCATTTCACTGACGGAATTATAGCCTCATTAACTAGGATACCAAATGCCAATTCGAAATATTTTGGCAAATACTAGTTAGTTTTGATTGGTTTTTTACATAATACAAGCTCGGATAAACATTATTTTTTATCTGACATTTGTAAACGACTCTTTGCTTAATTAACTATATATGACTTAAGTATAATGATAGATATATATACCTGTTTAAAATCGTTGTTATTTATATTATTTTTTTATGCAAAAATTCTGGCATGACGTTGTTTCATATTTAACAAATTATTGTAAATAATTAACACATATAGGCTTATTATTTGCATTATACGCATAAATATGCTCTAAACCCAAAAAAGTGTTGATGATACTTAATCTAGGATTTAAGTTTGATGTGAAATATAACATTTTATCGAGTTCCCTCAATAATGTATACACTTTGGACGAACGTGTAACTGTATACAGTCCCGGATTTTGGTCATCATAATATTATATTGATTAATGCTCAATACATGTTTTAAGCCATAAATTACAATCGTTGGTGGACATCGAAAAGGGCTTGCCTGCCACCTTCTATAGAGTTTCCGCTGGACTTTGTGTAATATTTTGGATTCAATCGAATTTTATTTTTCTAATTTCGCGCATTTGGTTGTTAACGAAAACAATGGAAATAGTTAAGTTGAAAAGAGAAAATAGTTTATTTTGTGCCTCTGCACGTCTACGCACCCGATGGAATTTATTTCACGGTATAAGATGAAAGACTGCGTCGGGTGTAGAGACGACACTGAAATCGTTTGTTGTTGTTGATGCAAATAGTATAATATATAATGTGTACATAATATTATATTTACATCATAATAAAGTCTTCGACAAGTATATAATATATATTATTTTCGTAACCCGCGTACCTTAGCTATAGCTTTTTATTTTATTTTATCCCCGTTATTATTATTATTGGTATTATTAATTTATCCCGCCTAGCGCACAATAAAGTAATGATTTTCCATCGCTTTGACGTTTTACGGCTTACGGACGATTTATATTGTCATGTCACCACGTGTGTAAACACAAAAGAATATTTTTCCGACCGCATAGAGTTAACGGCGGCGGCTAATGAACAACAACAATAATAATAATAATAATAATAATATAATATGAGAATGATGATGAACGGTGGCGGTGGCTGTACGGTTGTTTTCGACGACATTGTGTGTTGTGCTGGAATATAAACCTAACTCGAGTACGTCGAATAATAATAATGTATATTATAATATATAATGCCGCGGTAAACAAAACGAAAACAAATATAATAAAACTATTAAAATAATGGTTAATACCGCGGCGGCGTTTATACCGAATACCGACACGGTTTGACCTTATCGCATGAAGATGGTGTCATCGGTACAGCCACCTTGCACCGGCGGCATCCGAGTAGTGAGTACCGTCGTACATAAGATACCTACAGTTTAGGAATTACGTCAGTTGTATAAAAAAATAATACGAATGGATTGAGACGACGTTAGAGCGTGTGAGAAAGAAGAAAGGACGTTAAAAATGAGTAAGAGAGATGTAGAGGGATTTAGAAGTAGACCGAAGAAGATGCCAGTGTATGATAAAAAATAAAGCCATAAATTTCTCTACCAGCAGTAGAGTACACACATTTTATGGGTTAAGGTATATTGTATAAGGATAATCTATTATATAGATAATGCAAGAAAGTAGAAACTAGAAGGTAAACACTAAACAAGGCCTATTTAAACACCGATTGTTCAATTATTGAAGACTTAGGTTATTTTGACAATAGTAAAGGTCTAAAAACACGGGTTTCATCCTTTCCATTCATTGTAGAAATTCGAATTAATAAGGGATACTTTAAATGTAAAAAGAAAATACATTTGTGTACATTAGTTTTAAGAGTTATAAGACCCCCGGGATTTTAGGTGTACACAGACCCATTTTGAACATTTGCCGTTAAAACCATCAATAAAATAAAATAAATATAACTAGCCATTTTTGGGGTTGTTTTTTGCCAAATGCTAATGATTCACTTAAGAGTTCAGTAAACTCATAGAAATCTATATTTGTCATCGTAGACACTAAGTATATAGAACTTGCAGAACTAAATTAAATTGCATGGACGATTTTCTAATGTTTCCCGTGTTACTTCATAACAGTGGCTTCCTTGGTCGTAGGTATTACTCGGAAAAGAAATCCACGCACTACCGCCATACCGCGACGAGATCGCGCTGATTTCACGGTAAATGGTTTTTCCTTTTTTTTTTTTTTTTTTATAAATTACTTTAGTGGAAAATCCTCTATCGCAATAGTAGTGCAGTGTGAATTTCTAATAATTTCCCTTTCGCCCGCGTGCACCGTGTATGATTGCACTGATGCTTTTCTACCGTGTCACGTCGGTATTTATGAACTCCAACGAACTGTTCACAGTCAATCGGTGGCGCCACCAAAGTGAAATCTTAGTTTCCAACGATAGATATACTTGCATGGGACCCCGTCCACATTTCTTCAATACCAGCCCACCCTTGAGTCATCCGAACGACCGTCATAACTGTATTATAGGAAGTTTGTTGAAGAGTGCACGTATTTTTTTGTTCACGTCTTTTGTCTTACCTTACAGTGTGTGCTGAACATAATAATATACTTATCGACCGCTCGGCATATTGCATAACATAGGCGTTCTTTTCTCGAAAACAGAACCCAGTTTAGCGTTCGATCGTGGTCAGTAAACGTTATAGTCCAAATAGACAGCGCATGAAAGCAATTTCGTGGTTCCGACATCTGCCCAATCCAACAGAGTCTCCCTTGCCTATTATTATGTCACGTTTTATGACCACAGTTGCCATCAACTAATTTTTTTTTTTCAAAAGCCACGACTATTCTGGATATGCATAAACCCAATAAACTCGATATTTATGGGTAAATACTTTGGTATTTACATTTTCTGGGTCCTAAAGAAAAAAAAAGCGTTTTGGTTCGTGATGCAAACTGTTGTGTCTGACTGCTGTTCTTCAACATGGATAAACAATAAATTCACCAGGTGCCGGCGGACGTGCCCTGTGGATTCTGGAAATGTGTATTAAGTGAACGTTATCCTTTCGACTAAAATATTCCAATGGTCGAATTCGAAAGATGGCTGTTCAAAACCCGTTATGTGTGCAAGACCGCTTTTGTCTTTTTTCAAATCTTCAAATAAAACCTCACAGGTGAACACGGAATAATCCGGTCGTAAAATGAAACTCGCTCATTTTTTATGGTTATAAAAAAAACGTTTTATGATTAATAGTCCAATAGAAATTTGCTGTTCTGCGTTCTAGTTTAAAAAAAAAATGGCACACCCTTGATCGGAATGCAAGATTAGTATTAATTTCTATTACAAGTATTAAGTCAGGCTTGTACCCATGAAATCGTACAGGATGTAGTATTCAGCCCTTCACCCTCTTAGCCGTTCTATTATAAATAGGTTTGGGGGAACGGTGGGCCCCGGCGGGCCGTCGCGACTGACTGTTGGCGGCATCGCGTTACGTGACGGCTAAACGCGTCTAGACACCGTGGCGTCCATAACAGACGTGTCGTCGTCCCAGGCATTTGCCCTGGACTTGGAACGGCCGTCGGTCGGGTAACGATCAACAGTCACGCACCGCCGTCGTGGGCACAACCCAAACAGCGGCGGCCGCCGCCGCCATGGGTTTGTCGCCTTGTAACGGACTGCAAATGCATTCATTGTAGTCCCACCCACCTCCTATACGGAGTGAGAAATACTATCAAAATTCCTGTGCGGATAAATTGGCGACGATTATTGTTGTTTTGTGACCGGAAACCGTCGGCGATAAGCGCGACCCCGATACCGTTACATCGTTATTTGTTTTGTTCCTTTAATGGTATATAGTAGTTAACACGACCTTCGGAGTTACCTATGGAAAACGATACATTTTTTTGTGTGATACACGCTCGTGGTATATAGCAGTAAAGTGTCTCAACAAGAGTAGTAATTTGACTGGTAGGGATCGCGTGGCGGTCGCTGCAATTACGACCAGGCGATTGAAAGTGTGGATTATAAATGGCGGCGCTTAATGACGCGTGCGTTAGGTCAAAAACACAATTACATTGCACAGATTGGCGAATTAATTGTGGTTGTCGATTACAGCGGATGGCGAAGTGATAAATCTAAGCCATTCGTTTGATAGATTTGGTCTGTCACCCACCAGACACATGGAATAACAGCGTTTCCGTTAATGTGACTTTGTTGGTTAGGACTTTGGGTTCAAAGCAAAATAATGTGTTAAAAACATATTTACAAAGAGCCTCCAATACAGCACAATATAGGATTATTTATCAACACATTGGTTTAAACGAATTATCTGAAATATTTCCGGAGAAGACCCCACAGTATAGAATGTATAAAATGTATACGACCATTTAGTATAAACAACAAAGCCCAGATCCCGTCGGGAATTTCGTGATATCCCAGTAGTCCAATTAACGTCTTAACTTATCCCCTTAAATTTTTGTAATTGACTTACAAGTAATCATCATGTCCCTTGACGCTGCGGAAAATATTACATTGTTATTTATGTATATACCTTTATTTATTTGCATAAATAATTGTGTGAATTTATTTGTTTTTTTTCTAGCGGTCTTAACTTCCAAGACTTGATGGCCAGACAAGGCGCTATCGAGTCGTTGCCCAAAGCTCCGTTCATTTTGGGTTTCGAGTGTTCCGGCATCATCGAACAAGTCGGCGAGGGAGTGGAAAACTTCAAGGTATGCGTCTTAAAAAACCTAGAACGAGTTTATGTCAGAACGTCAAATTCTCCTCTTCACAGTTCCCTTTAGGGGGGTATTCGATCACCGCGCGTGGGCGACCGTTTGTGCGAGAATAATGTAAGAAGTTGTAGAAAAAAAGAGGAGGAGAAGAGCAACAACCAGAATGACGGTAGTCCGCTTTTAATAGGGTGATGAATAAATAACTAAAATGATTTGCCACTTCTGTGTATCGTCGCCCACGCGCGTCCGTTACTAAGATAAATAACCATCATGTTCTTCAGTAAATATGTCGGCTCATCGGCCTCTAGGTCTTAACTATAAAATAAGTAATAACAATGTAAAATCATTAAGACAGATTTTTATACCGGTGCCGGACTCGGGCCATAACTTTTTATTTTAGTCGTTGATCACGTTCTGTTGCAACAGTATTTCAATGACACTGTCGTCGCTTTCGTGGTTTTTTTTTTTTTACCATCACACGCGTTTTTGTATTTCCTTGTATTTTGTATATATTATTTTGCGTTGCCGAAGGGCGTAGAGTCTATAATTTACACTGTATAGTATTCTAGATAACGGACACAGGACTAAAAGTGTGGGGAGCACGCTCTTTGGTTTTATGTACAATTGGTTCAGCCGTGATCGAGTTGCTGACTGTGTCATATCCTTAGGCCTCAGGAAGCGGCACGTTTTTTGCTCAAAAACATGACTACGGCAATAGGAACGATGACTCTTAGTGATAATTCGTCTTTTGTTAGAAGAGGAAGACTCCGTACATGGATGGCGGCATTGACCTCGAATTTTTAAATATTTAATTCTTATGCACCGCAATAACTAATAAACGTTAGAATTTTCCATTTTTATTTAGTTTTTTTTTAAACTTTTATTTTGGTGTTTAATTCAAAAACTGGAGGTCAATGCGCCTTTTAAGAATACAAAATCCGATCACTATGAAGTATCGTCCTAATTAGCGTAGTTATTTTTTGTTCGCCAAAATGTCTATAACGCTAAAAACTTATACCTTTTACAAAATGATAAATAAATAGGTTGACACTTCATTAAAAATCTATTAAAAAAAAGGTTTTTTTGCCTATTATTCCCTATATTTTTCTACTTAATAAATAACTGTTTCCGGGACCCTTAGGTGACATACGGACTTACAAAAAGTATCTTTGTGAATTTATGAGCAATGATGGGAAGTGAAGGAGGCTCCGTGTGTTGTGTGTGTGTGTGTAACGTGCGCACAAATAATAATAATTAATCCCAACCCGCATACGGGGGACAAATTCTTACAATATATTATATAATTTATATTTTATATTACATTAATAATACTACGGTCTGACTGTCGATATTATCGCCAACGTGAATATTATTGTATTTCAAAGGGGCTATAAGAAAAAAAAAATATATATATAGTATATTTATACAACCCTAATTATTTAATTGACCGTTTGTGCCATAACAATGATCATATTATTAAGTTAACGTTGCTCCTCTGTCCTCTCACTTATATATTAAACACCGTTCCCCAATGTAGCGCACTATATGTATGCATTATATTAATATCATATCGGTAATGGATGTTGACAAAGTAGGAAATTCCAACGACAGTTTTATTATTGTCCGAGCTGGTTATACGCGACAACGATGCCTATATATGTAAGTTTTCGGACTGTTGGCCACAATGTTTGGTAGAAAACGGTAGTCGTGTGGTGTGGGATTCAAAATCAAATGCTTTAAAATGTATACCGTCGGGCAGGGATGACCTGGCGCTGCGAGTGCGACTAATTGTCCCAAAACCACCCTGTCCACGCCTAAACAACAAGAGCGGGAAACTGGCAAGTTGCAACAATGCCAGTGACAATATTGGTCATGTGTGGACACAGAGCTTAAGGCAGAACCAATGGTGCAATCTATAGATTTGTAGGAAGAAGGAAGGGTGTTTTACTTAAAAATCGAATTTGCTGTTTTGTCGGTATAATTGAATTTACATTTGCCCGACATTAAATATAACTGTTTAACAATATTGTTTTAGCAACACATTAATAATGGTTTACTAAAATACCATAGTTGACCAAGACACAGTCTGTTTTTGTTGACTTTTGGTTGTTGCCTCGAAACACAATAAATTCGTACTCGCCGTTTGTTTCGTCGACGTTTAAAAAACGTTGGATCATCTTTGCCGTTGAGAGTCTTTCTCCGCACGTTTTGGTCGCCTACGGGCTATAAAATTTTAACGTCCGATTGTTGTCCGCAACAGCGCGCGTCGGATTCCACGACATAAAGCCGTAGTCTATTCGTATTATTAGGATCTTTTTTTTTTGTTTTATGCACCGTATGCAGTGCCGGAATACCGAGAACGGCTTTATATATAAATATAATGTATAATAATAATGTAATATTATACGGGAGACCTGTAAAACGCGCACGCTTAGGTGTACGGGAAGAAACCGGTTCCTCCGCTCTCCTCTCACGAATCGATAATCTCAGCCTGAAGTCGAGATACGATTATTATTATTATTATTATATTGTCCAAATAATCATAATAATAACACACATTGGGAGTGTGGAAACTGCTCATGATCGATAATGGTGTAATTTTTGCCCCGTACAGGTCGGCGATCGCGTGGTGGCGTTGCCCGAATGGCGTGCCTGGTCCGAACTGGTATCCGTGCCGGCCAAGAATGCGTTTGCCATACCGGAGGGCCTCGACTTTGTGGACGCAGCGGCCTTGGCCACCAACTACATCGTGGCCTACGTGCTGTTATTCGAACTGGGCGCCGTCAAGCCTGGCAGCAACCTGATCGTGCACTCTGCCGGCGGAGGGGTGGTAAGTGTGATTTCTATTGTTATTTACTCTACACCATTAGGTGCCCTATATTTTGTGCTTACACGTTATGTGGAAATCTACGGCGGGAGCCGGGTGATTGCCTCCCGTCATTCTATTTTATTAGCTACACTATAAACAATATCATAAGTAAGTACATTGAGACTGGATTTCAATTATAATTTCCACTGAGTAATCTTTAAGCCTTTCGGATATTGAAAATCTAGCGGTTAAATGATTTATTAGGATTATATAATATATAATCATAATACATTATATATATATATATAATGTATATTAGTAGTAAAGGTAATAAAGAAATTGAGCCCTTTAATTTCTTTATAATCTTTAAAAACTTAACAGTATGCCAAAATGTTTAATTTGATGAACCAATCATATAGTTCTCTATTAGTTAAATAAAAAAAGTGTAAATTAAAATGTTGGATCATTTTTTTGGAACTTAAATTAAACAAAAAAAATATATCGCTAGTATGATGGTTTAAATTTTTAATTATAAGGAATTCTTAAATCCCAAAAATATTAAAACAATTAATTGTTATAATAAATTCTATTATTTTATTTAAAAGTAAATCGTGTGATTTCAATTAATTTGTCTTAACTGGATTAAAATACTTAGGAAAAATCACCCTGAATTTGTATTTTATTTTCTTCTTGGATTTAATGTAATTTTTTAATTTTAAAAATGATTTATAACTAGAAAAAGTTAAAAGCTAATTAAAAATTATTAGTTATAATTAGTGACTAATTATATACATTATTGAAATTTATTGATACCTTATTATTCCCCGTTTAAATCATGGTATCAACGAAGTATTTTTTAAAATTTTATTTTAACCTAAATAATATAAATTATATCCTACAAAATTTTAATTTAAATCACTGATTTGAATATCATTTTGTTATTTAGCTAATAGAGCTCATAGCTAATTTGTGTTTGAAAGGAATGTGTTCTCATCGTTTAATATGTTAAAATTTGACATTCTCGCGTATTTAAATGTAATAAAAAAATAAATTCAGTTAAAATAAGAACCACCATATATAGGACCATATATACAAGAACAGTAGCGTTCTTATACATTATCGTGTGCAAAATATAAAGAAGATATTCTTTATCTATTTTTATATTGTTGTGATCACGGTCTACGGTTTATATAAGTGAAGTATAGTTCAGGCTATTAGTGTTGAATGGGTGGACCAGATTGCTTGTTGTAGTATGTAGATATATAAAAAAATTATATAATATATTATGGATGGTCCTTGCTAGACAAATTCGAGGCGTTTAATTTTTTGGTCTAACATTGTTTTTCTAAGTAATGACTTGTCCACCGCCTCCGGTTGTCTGTCAAACTCCGACACGGGTTTAATGGGTTAGAGTTGCGTTTTGGCTGTTTGTTCTTCTCCAATTAAAATAAAAAATCGTTTTTAGTTGGGGATCACAAGCGGCATTTCTTAATTACTCGATTTTCGTTTCAACGTTTTCAATTATTATTGTTACAAGTCTCGATCTGAGCTCACGTGACGTATGTAAACAAAAAAATATATTTGAAAGATATTACTAGTCTTAGGATTTTAATGTAGGAGGGCCTACCAAATTAGTAAGGGTCCCAGGCCGCGCTAATTGAATATTATATTATAATTTTCGCGCCCTTCATAAAATATATATATATTTAATATACTTATACTTTTACTATACTTATCTATTTATAAACGTTTTGTGAAAATTCCTATTAAACTAAGAAATCTATTTGTGTAAAGTGTCAATTGTTTTAAGCCGTGATAAATCGATTGTGAATGCTCTCTCCCTTGTAATTTTTTCCGATTCAATACCCATTACATTTCCGTACAGTTAGAACTACAATATTAGAAAACTTCTTTTTCGTCGTCGCAATGCCTCAGATTGCATAAATCACAGTATAATCTGTGGTTATGGTATTCAAATAAATCGTTCTTAATTGATAAATTCTTCTTAGAATTCAATTTTATTTTGGTCGTTTTCGTACAATAAAAAAATAACATGTTTTTAATATTATTATGTTAACGATTTATCATATACCTACTTAATTAACATTAAGTAACAGAGTCATAGCCCAATTATAGAACTACATAATGTAGCAAGGCTTAACCTAAATTCTTAAAGTATACTAACCAATTAACATTATTTATGTACTCATAGTAATTGCATTTGTTACACACAGGGCCAAGCAGTAGCTCAACTCTGCAAAACAGTTGACAATGTCACTGTGTTTGGTGTAGCATCTAAAACAAAACATGAAGCTTTAAAAGGAACGATTGATCATCTTTTGGAACGTGGCAGTGATTATGCTGCTGAAGTTAGAAAGTAAGAAATTTCCCTATCAAAACATTACAGATGTCTTATTTACTTAAATTTTGTTATTATTTAGAGTTACGCCAGAAGGAGTTGATCTGGTTTTGGATTGTGTTTGTGGCGAAGAATGCAGCCGTGGATATTCTCTATTGAAACCAATGGGAAAATATATACTTTTTGGTAAATAAACATGTTTTAATTGTTTATCTAAATATTAACAAAAATTATAATATTACGCTTTTTTTTTAAATTTTAGGCTCCTCTAATATTGTAACGGGTGAAACAAAAAGCTTCTTCAGCGCTGCCAAATCCGTAAGTTATTATCTGTTGCGATTTTAAAACATCTAACAACTACTATCTTGATTTTCTAATGACTATTTTTTTGTAGTGGTGGCAAGTCGACAAAATTTCTCCACTCAAATTGTTTGACGAAAACAAAACCTTAGTGGGATTCAACTTGAGACGATTGTTATTCCATCAAAATCAAGCTGGTTACGTTGCAAATATTTTCAACAAAGTGATTGGTTTATGGAAGGATGGAAAAGTAAAGCCTGTTATTGACTCTACTTGGGCTTTCGAAGACGTTAGTAATATTTATTATTGTAAATGTAGCGTTATCGTTTTTAAATATTATGTATGAATTTATTTATGGACAAATATAGGTTGGTGAAGCTATGCAGAAAATGCATGATAGAAAAAATATTGGTAAAATCGTATTGGATCCAAGTTTGGAGCCAAAACCAAAACCGGCAACACCCGTCAAGAGTAAATCAAAAAATGCTGACAAAGAAAAGGAAAAGAAGGAAGATGATTCTGCAAATGGTACATCTACACCGGAAGTTACAAGTCCAACAAGTATGCTTATATTATAATTATTACTGGGTCAAAATAAATTCTATTAAAACTTTAAAACTATGTATAAGTAATTATAAATTGTCTTTATAAGTTGATTGTGTGATATTTGATCTATTGAAATTCCACAAAAAATAATTTAGGTTAAAACTAAGAATGCTTTAAAGTAAAAACGTTAAAAAAAATATTAGTATAATTTGAAATAAATTATTAGCCATAAAAATAGTATAGTTTCAATTATTTATATTTATATTTATTCACCCTACTATGCCGCAAACAGAACTTCTGCTATTTATACAAATCTGAAAAAATAAAAATTAAACTTAATATTAAACATTTATTTTTAAATTTTATATTTTTAGTAATATGTATTTTTATTGGCTTATCAAGTAAAATTAAGTATTATATACATAACTAATTACTTGATAGCCTGACCCTAAGAGAGGAGAAGTTAACTTAGTTTGGTAAACTATACTTAACTGAAATAAATAGTCTACGTTGTATGCGTAACAGACAGAACTAAACATTGGTATTATAACAAAAACCTAAAATTTAATATTTTCACTGTTATACCAAATAAATTGTTTGAATTGAATATTCATGAACATGCTTTGTTATTTTGCAGCTAAAGAAAAAGAGGAAAAAAAGGAATCTAGTTAAATGCTTTCAACTACTGCGTACGTCGTCCACAAAACATAACTACCTACTTATTAAATAAATATATATTATAATATAAACTCCTCAATATCGCTTTTTCGTGTTGTAAATTATACACTTCACAATCAAATACTATTTTAGCCTTTTTAGCAATACTTTAAAATATATTTGTTCCACTCATCATATTATATATAACGATAAACTACTGTTTATATTTAGTCAAATAGTGTTTCATTGATAAAACAAATTCTTATATTATGATTTCATATAATGATTTAAATTGTTTTATACATTCAACAATTTATTACATTAGGCTAATTTATTATTATTACTGATCATGTACCAAATATTATGTATACCTATATGTTAATTTTTATATAATTGTTTTGGTTCATTTTATTCGTACATTGCGATGCATTTTCTATTATATTATTATTATTTTTAGCTTATATTTTAAGTTTTATATTATACTGAAGAATTGCAAAATACAAAACATTTATTTTTCCATTATTTTTTTATACAATTTTTACAACACATAAATATGGGAATCTAAATAATAATATATATTTTAAAATTATATACTTATATTATATATAATATATATATATATATATATTATAATTTGTGTTAAAAACAATTATGGATGAATTATTCTATTAACAAAATATTTTATGATATAACATGTGTGTGCAAGTGTGTATATTATATTTATTATTAAATAATGAAATATATCATTAATCAAAAAACGACTATTATTTTCAAGCTAGCTTTAAGTATAAGAATTTATATTACGTATTATTTATTGATGTATCTTTTGCAAGCTTGTGATAGTTTTTTTTTATTCATCAATGTACACTAGGGTTGTAGACTAGATTGAAAACTGAATCTCAATGCTCATATTGCTACTATGTGATTTTTGGATTACTTTTTATTTTAAGATATTATCTTAAATTCATTACATTTGGTTGTAGATTTTTAATCAAGGAATTTTTTAAGTATTGTAGAGATTTGGTTATCAATACACTCGAAGATACTTTATGTCGGCGGCGGTCCTTAGATAATGACTTCTTATTGAAAAAGAAAGATAAAAATTAAAAAACATATTTTTTCAATTTAAAGCTTGATTATCAACTTTAATTTACTAAAAAATAAGAATGCCCTATATATAGAGGTAATCAAACAAGACACATTTTTTATGAATTATGAGGGTGCTCTAAGAAGACAAATAATAAAAAAAACTTGAAAGAATTTCTAATATTTCCGTTTTTAAGTATTCTATTTTCATTGTACTATGAATACTTACTGTGTTATCATCATATTGTTTTTTTATTATTATTATTTATTTTTATTCTAGCAACATGTTTTTCGACTATGTGTAGGAAAATATAGTTAACTATTTTAATTTTAATTCAGTATCTAGACAAGGTTAATGATACCTAATAGTTATTCGATTATCATATGTATGCTTAAAACATTACTTTATCATCATTTAACTGTTATATTAATGACAATTTTTCTTATAGTATGACCATTATAGACCACACATTTTTTTTAGATTTCTCGACAAAACTATATTTCAAGTATCAATAATGAATAATCTATATAATATAATCTTACAATGCAATTGCCCGATATTACCCATATGGATTGGTTTAATAAGTTAGGACAACTTGGAAAAAGAAATAAGGTTAATTATAATGCTTAAAATTATTTTACTATTTGTAGTTCAAAATAACTAACAAAGTAAAAAAATTCTTTCCAATAATTATTGTTTGAACTTAGTAGAAAGAAATACAAGATAACGTTGTGGTTCACTAATTTTGTCAATAATAATTATTATTTATTACTAATTTGAATTTATATTAAAACAAGTCATATTAAATGTCAATACTCAATTGTAAATACTGTAAAAGTAAAGACTAAAGCCGTTTGACGAAATCAATTGATATTCTTATAACTCGTTCACATATTTGTTTTTCTATAATATCCTTAATAAATAACAATAAAACATATTTCTCAAGTATGCAAAAAAAGATAACTATCATCCGTATTAATAATTAAAAATGTAAAATTATCCTCTCTAAATAAATTTTAATTTTAATTTTAAATCACACTAAATTATATCAAATACCGAACCAATGATTACATATTATTTTAAGTGGAGTTTGAGTTGGTAACACTATATTTCACAGATTATACGTAAATCTTTGGCGACGCTATTATCAATAAAAACAAAAGTGAATGATAACACAATGTAGTAAATAAAGTATAAATATTGTTGAACAAAATAATATACGAGTGATGACAAAAGTGTTGCTGAACAATAATTTAATACACTTCAGTTAACTGTATCGTATAATCAACTCGATTTGATACTGAAACTCTTAAATGAAATATATTATTAGTTTTAAAGGTTGTTTATTTATGTACATTATGCGATAAATGGAAAACGTCAAAGGGCCAACGTCAACACAATCAAATTCTACAGAGAATCGGAACGATGACAAGGAGAACAAACTACATTCACTGAAGGAAGTTCCAAAAAGAAGTTTTGTACATATCAAAGAGTCGTTTAGAACATTAAAAAATGCTAATAGACTGCCAGTTATTGCTAAAGGTAAAACAGTTTATAATTTTTTTTTTTTGTGAATTAAGTTTATAAAACTTTCGTTAGATGCTGTTATAAAAACGTAAATATATAATAATGATTGTTTCAAGTTAAAACTGTATATTTTTTAGAGGTATCTGTTTAAAATATGAACATGTATAAATTCGTATTGACAATGACCTAAAATATTTGTGTAACTTAAAATTTAAATTTGAGAAAAATTGGTTAGTAAACGTATAGAGTTATTATCAATTCCCAAAATACTAATAGTTGAACAACATATTACGTTTTTAAATTAAAATTTATAAATATGAAATTTTATACTAGAAAAAAAACTAATATTCTAACAAAATTAAGATTCATAAATTTAAAAAATATATATATATATATATATTATTACTATTATTGTTGATGTTTCAATGTACAATTAAAAATAAAAGTGTTATCTAATAATATTTGAGAATCTTAATTATTTTAATAATTAAAAATGCAATTGTAAATATCTTTAAATGCAATTAAGTTTTTGTCCGTACAATAAATGACAATTATATTACGGCATTCTTATTGACTAATACTATCAATGCTGTATTCTAATAATTACAGTTTTTTTTTTTAGTAGGTTCCTAAGTATATAATACATAATTTTGTGCAATTCACAAAATGCGTTATAAATGTAGCATAATATACAGTATTATTATAAATCTTTCAATAAAATATAATCACCCAGTGTTGTAGTTATTTTGATCTGTATCATAATATAAAGTATTACATTGGCTACAATAAATATAATTATTAGAATTGTATCCTTTTTATACAGTTCCACAGAGTTAATTATTAAATAGGTAACACTTAAAACGCTTTATATGCTAGAATTTTATTTATGCTTGTAAACAAATAAAGAAGTACTGTTTAAGCATATTACCATACACAACTATAATATATGACATTTAATAAAGATATAATATGTTTTGTATGTCAGCCTAATAGTCATAGGCGCAATTTCAATTTTTAACTTGGGGGGGACTGGACATTTTTTTAAAATATATATAAGTAAATATATTTTTGTATTTTTAAACTGTATGCTTAACGTAATTTTTTTGGTGGGGCTATGTCTAACTTTGGGGGGGGGGCTAAGTCCACCCCCCCCACCGCGTATTTAAAGCATAGATCATTTCAATATTTAGTATTAATAGAATGTGGAAATACATTAAATATAAACATATCAAGTTGTCCTATCAACTTAAATAATGTAACAATACTAAATTTAATCATTTTTTATTTAATCAACTTAGTTTATAGGAAGTTATATAAGTGGTTAAATTATATCATAAAATAATGCAACAATTAAAAGAAACATTTGTATTATCATACAACGTTTATTTATCTACTACTATTCAAATGGTAGGCAGGTATAATAAAAGAATAAATTATATGTTACATTTGTTGAAACTTTAACTTTTTCATTTGACGACTGACGTACATGAACTTTTAAAACATTTCTTGAAAATGAAGGGTTAATGAGTTACAAATATGTTTTTATGCTTTAAAAGGATCATTTATCTATGATTAGTTTTAATATTACAAATTTTATTTTCAATTACGCTATATTATGTTATTAATAGGTGTAGGTATATATAAAAAAGTAAAAACAATTTATATGCTCTTTAAATAATAATAGAGTTGTTGAATTACCTAAATTATATTATTATCCGTTTCTCAGCTATCTATAATTATGAATTAATTTTTTGATTTGTGTTGTATCAATATTTGTAATATTATGAATGATTATCAGTTGTACCATTTGTATAAATTTTTTTAAAAATAGTAATTATTTCTACAACTTTTATATTATTATTTTATGGACTGTTTTTTTAATTTAAATTATTACGTTCTTCAGCTGTACTTATTAACTATTTTAATGGAAGTGGGGGGTGGGGTTGAATTTTGATTATTTTTTATTTTTGTTAAACTAATAGCTGACAAAAAACCAACTATAGTATATTATATTATTAAAATATAGTATGATTTTTTCGTATTTTGTTTAGTAAGTTTTAAAATACTTCAAATAATTAAGAAAAATTGTATTATTAAATTGTATTTAGCATCTCGTTATTCGTAAGTTCAGAAAAACGTGCAAGTAAAAGTAGCAATGTAGTCGTTTTTTTTTCGATTTTATTATTTTTTTTGTCAAACGGGTTGGTTAGTTTTAAAAGTATGAATCGTAATAAAATGTGCACATTCGTTTACGAAACAATAGCTCCAGTCATTTAAACAATTATACTGATCATTTACCTCGTAAACAAACAACAAATAGCCAAGCACCGTCGTAAATCTGGTCGTTATTAAATTCATTGTATTTGCATAGAATTTGCTAGAATAATCAAGTGTATTTTGTTATTGGTTTAAAAGAAAAGAAGCAGCGCGAAAAGAAACTAAACGATAAAAACGTGTGTACAAAACTTTCTCGCCATGTTACTGTACAGACTGACTGTGATATTGATTTGTCCCGTGGCCGGGTGGTCGTTCCTTCAACCCCTCCCCCACTAAAAACGGCTGTACACAAGTTTACCCATTGAGTATGTCGAAAAAGGTGCCGCCGTATAAAGGGGCGCTGTTTTAGCTAACAAAAAAAAAAATTGTTCTACGCGAAACAAACGTGAAAATAATAGTATTAATTAATTTCTATACAATATATAACCATGCATACTCTTAGGAGAAAGACCAGTCCGTTCAAATGTAAGTTATTACCAATAAGTAATATTATGTTTTGTCGTCGATTGTATTTGATTTAGTGCACTTATTATAAAACCGATATCAATGTGTCCCCACAACTATTTTCATTTTATTATAGATAAATCGTTCTCTTTACAATTGTTTTAATCTCGAAATTAACATAGTAAATCGATTTTGTTAGAATTTAAAATAGTTATTTTAATATATTTTATAAAAATTAATTGCTTTTAAGGAGTAGATATTAAATCTTGTTTGCGGTTTCAGCTGATAAAACCGGCGTAGGTGCTGTTCGGTTTATGGGAGATGGAGTTACATTCAAGGCTAAGCTCATTGGCATACTTGAAGTCAGTGAAGCGAGAGGAGATAGAATGTGTCAAGAGGCGTTATTTGATCTGAAAATGGCAATCCGAGCGGCCGGCGAACACAAGCAACGTATCAACATCAATATAGCTATAGACGGATTAAAGTTAAAAGATGAAAAGACAGGAGTAAGAATTTGATTATTAAATTATAAAATTTACTATTATATTTATAAATCATATTTTATTTGTAGGAATGTTTGTATCACCACCCTATACACAAAATATCATTCATAGCGCAAGATATGGTCGATTCGAGAGCATTTGGATACATCTTCGGTTCGCCAGATACTGGTCATAGGTTTTTTGGTATAAAAACGGAAAAAGCTGCTAGCCAAGTAACTTAACACAAAACGGTGTATTACATACATTTGTGTAGTACAAATATCTAAGTACTATCTATAAGTGAATTTTTGGATTTTTAGGTTGTGGTAACCATGAGGGATCTATTTCAAACAGTTTATGAATTAAAGAAACAAGAAATAGAAAGAACTAAGAAAAACAGTTCTGTAGCTGGAAAATTTTACCAACATGTAATGAGCTAGTACTTCAATTCAATTTCAAATAATAATAGTATTAATTATTTGTATTGAAGTGTATTTTATTTATTCCTTAGATCAGTAACAATGACAACCAAAAATTAAACCGTGAACCGTCAAGCGCAGAGAAGCCAGAGATTAAAACTTCAACTCCAAACCCTAATTTTCTTCTAAATTTAGAACACGAATTAAATAACTTGCAACAAGGATTATCCCAGATGGAAAGTATTACTCCTCCATCGATGGATACAATGTCAGCATCAGATCCTTTTGGTGATTCATTTATTGATCTGCCCTCAGTCGCTTTGACCAAACTACCACCACCGCCCAGTACAGGTGAACGAAGGACCCGTAATAATTCAGCTAATTCAAACGGACAACAAGAAAAACATTGGTTTGATAAAGAAACTGAAAAGATATTTAGCCTAACTAATCCTAGTGAAGTCCGTCAATCACTTCAAGCGGCAGATTTTATGGTAAGACATCTGAGCTAAATATAATGTTGTATAAAACTAATTGTATCAGTTGTACTTTAGATTTAAAAAGTTAATTTTAGATTAAAAAACTCTTGACAAATGATCAATAATTTTTTTATTTTCTATAACAACTGTTTATAAGTGTTACTCTTTTAAAACTTGTTTTTTTTTTTTTAGAGAAGGTAAGTAATGTGAATTACATTGTAATACATTGAGATTGGACATTCCTTTTTAAGATAGAGATATTATATTTTAACAACTGTATATTATTTTTAAAAATAAACTAAATAATATGCGTTATTGTAGGTTAATGATATATCGAACCAGTACAACCTGCCGAAGCAGCAGGACATATTTGACGTATTCACTGATTTAGATCCCTTGGGCACTGGCCGTAGTAAACCGTATGTAGACAAAAAGGACTTCTTCCAAGAGTTGAAGAATCCTCCTAAAAGAATATTGAATCAGTTGGCCATGCCAGAAAACGACAAAAATGCAGAACAACAACAACCACCCCAACAAAGTCTACCGCCTAAAACGCTGAGCAATTCGTTTTCTTCCGAGTTGTCATTTAAAGATGCTGCTGGCGGCTTCGTCGACGATTCTTTCAAGACAGATCATTTCAATAAGTCAAACGATTCAAACTCAATGGAAATGGAATTTGCTGACTTCTCGTCGTTCGATTCGTTGAAACCGACGTCGTCGCCACAACTGCAACAGAAATCTCCTTTGATGAAAAGCGACAGTTCGTCGTCACAGAATTCGGCCCAAGGTCTTTTGAGGGTAACGCTTCCGCCAGAATTGCCCCAAAACCCGTACAGCATATCTACGTCGCCCAAATACAATTTGATGTCGAAAAACAAGTCGAAAACGCGAAAATCTCCAAGCCCTGAATATTACAAAAATGAAGAGCCCGCTTCGCCAGACGACGATTATTCCATCATGAAAATGATGACTTTGCCGCAACGGGTAGACATCGCGCCCGAGCCACCTCCGCGGCCTTCGTCATCGTTGGAACCGCCGCCGTTGCCCCCGAAAAAACAGCAAATACCTGCCAAAAACGTCAAGCCTACGCGGTCCCGCAACGGCCACTACGATTACATAGAAAACTACGTTAGTTCCTATAGTTCGACGTCCGCGCAACAAGAAACCGAAGCTCCGCCCTTGCCGTTGCCGTCTAGGAAGCCCAAGACCACCGACGTTCAGAAAAAGAAAGACGAACTCGATTCGGAATATTACCTGGTGCCGGTGTCAGTAAAGAAAACCTACAACGATTCCAAGTCAAACGTTTCCACGTCACTGGACATTACATTAAGTCAATTAACGAAAACAGGGTTTAGCGATTTAGCCGATACGTTGAAAATATCTCCGACTACTTTGTCCAAAATGACACTTAAGGAGTTGACAACGCGTTTGTCGGAGCTCACTACCAATGGTAACGTGGACGTGCGAAACGCGCCGAAAAAGACTGAAGAGGACAAAAAAGAACCGGAAAAATCGCTATACGACAAGTACGCCGTGTTCAGGGAACTACTGGACGATGAAAAAATCGTCGAGCACACTGTCGACAAGGAAAACGACAAATATGCAGCTCTGAGGGACATCGATTCAGTCGAAGAGACTTTTACGTGTGAACAAGGCCTGGCCGAAGTCGTTCATCCTACTGAAAGTACATTTGAACAGAATATTATCGAATCCGCGTTAGAACGCACTGGGAGCGAATCTAGCATTAACAACGACATTAAAACGGAAAAAGAAGTCGCGGCGATCGCCAACGAAGCGGTGGACGACAATATAATTATAGAAGACGAAGACGTTAATGAAGAGGAAGTCGTCCGGGACAACGGAGAAGAAGGTGTCGCTAACGACGAGTCCACAAAAGAAGAACGTGATCGAGGAGGATCGTTCGAGTCGGAGAAAGAAGATTTTGTTAAACCTGTTTCGGAAATTTTACGCGCCGCCGAAGAGACGGTGCAGCCCAGGTCGATAGAAAGCACTCACTGCTGGGCCACTTTCGACGTCGAACCGGATCGGACCGTGAAAAAGGTGAGCTCTCCGTGGTCGGCCGATGATCAAGAACCGATGCCCAAACCCAAAACTCATATAAAAAAAATCACGTCCAACCGCAGCAAGTATTCGTCCAGCTGGGACGACTGCGAAGAGTCCGAGGACAACTGGGACACGCCAAAACGAAGTTTGGAGAGTTCCATCGAAGACTTTTCGTCGAAAAATGGTTGGAGTGATGGCGAGTCCATGTACGAAGACGAACCTTACTACGATAGGCGGCAGCACAGCAGGCGTAGTAACCGCAAGATTTCTCCTCGACGCCGGGAACCGTCGCCGTGGGACGAGGGGAACATGTACAGCGACGACTGGGAATCGCCGTACATGTTCCCGCCACACTGGAGACCTCCGCACGTGGACGACGAGCGAAGGCGGTCCAAGGATGACAAACGGCGGATATACGCACGACCGGATATCGATAGGAGAATTCAGAAAATGGGCAGCTTGCCTAACTGGGAAGACGAAAAGTACCAGAGGATCATGTATGAGAGAAGAAGACGGTATCTGGAAGACCAATACAACTGGGATCGCTACGGTCCACCCATGCCCAAGGGTTACCCGAAAAGCTATCCGAGGGCGCTTCCGCCGCCCGTCATCGACAATAGTGACGAAGAGGAAATGAAAATGCGGTACAGGTTACCTAAAAAAAACCGGTACTCGTCGTCGACTGCGCCCAGGAAGCCTAGGCTTCGGTCGTATCATCGACGGAGCGAGGGCAGCGACGAAGAACGCAACGTGGTGCAGCCCCGTAAACCGTACAGTCAGGAAGAGTTGGACTTTAGTGAGTCCGAACTGGAACAGAACTGGTCGAGGCGGTCGAAAACCAACAAATGGCCGTTGAAACGCAACCAGACGTCGCCGTTCGATGACAACTTCGCGCCGGACAGCCCGGACTCGTCGCTGTTTGCCAAGACTATAAGCACGTGTTCCGATTTGGGATACTTGACCAAACCGTCGCCGTCGACCAGCTCCAAGACTGCAGGAACCGCCAACCGGGTGCCGTCGACGAGGCGACCAAAACGCTCCGACAGCGGACAGCGGTCTGCCGACTCCAACTCTAAGGCGGATTCGTCGACGGCCAAACGGTCGCCGTTCGAGGATGACTTTACGCCGCCGGACGCTGTGGCCAAGGGGAGCGTCACCAGCGAGTTTAGCTTCAAGGACGACGACGTGTTCACGACCAAGGGAGACGCCGACGTCGTGCGGGCCGAAACGCCGCCGCCAGTAGACGGCGGCATGAAGAAGTCCGATTCGATAAACATATTCTCCAGGAGCGCGGATCCGTTCGAGGACGACGATTTCTTCAAACAGGACGTATCCGTCCAACCAAATTTGGCTTGCCTAGAAGAAACCGTTTCCGATCACGAAACTGAAAACTGGAACAAAAGACCGGATAGGACCAAAAACGAATGAGACTATCGGCACGTGGCCCGGCCGAAGTCAAGAGGGGCCACCAGAGCTTTTAGGAGTGTTTTTCGCAAAGTAAATAAATTCGTGAACAAATTATTTTGATCAAAACACTCTCGTGTACTTACCGACGAGTAAACTCACAATGTAGAATATAATTTTTTTTTACACCTAATAGAGTAATCAAATTTTTTAATCATCGATTTACATTAAAAAACAAAACAATCAAACACTGTACTTATCTCCCTTCAGTACACACAACGTATAGAACTGAATATTGTGTTTGTATATTAGCTTAAATTACGTTAGGTTAATTTTAATTTTTAATTTATTATTTGAGTGTACAGTAACCGCTAAGTTTTTACTACCGCTGTTAGTAATTATACTATCATTTGTTTGAATTCTAATTGGATCTGTAATTTTTGAATCTTGAACTATTTTTTTTTCAAATAGCGTCGCTGATTTCTTTATACTGACTTGTGCAATACGTTTAACGTACAATTTACGAATTATAATAGTTCAATTTATACTACACCAACGTTGTTGAGTATTTTTATTTATATTGTTTATTTGTTTTTTTTTTTCGTGTTTCGAGTCTGTCTAACTACGACATTTAGTTGTAAGCAATTCAGTTTTTATTTGTTAAGTATACATTAAACCCTGTCAGGTAGAGCCATCCATTTAACTTAAAACATAATAACCAGCAGGAACGCGTAGTTATACCTAATGCTGTCTAGAGTACGGACTATAAATATTGTATGTATACATGGTTCCTTTTGAATATTATTAATATTTTTACTATTGATGTGTCCTGTGAATTGTTAACCATCCTACTTATAACGTGTAACTTTATTTTGAGTGTCTATTAACTAATTGTAAACGTAAAGAGTGTATCGTGTGGAATCACAGGTAGTATAATATTGTAAACGAATGGGGTGAATATAAAATTCAGTAATTTTTTGTAGGAATGACCTAACAATATTGGCGTTTTATTTATAATTCGGTAATACTTATTTTACATAAACATCTTGTTGTGGTTAAGTTGCTTGCATTCTATTGAAATCAAGAATTGTTGGCCATTTGTATTTTATTAATTAGATAGGTAATACTATTGTATTTACTTTGGCCTCGTCTGTTTACAATATTATCCCTGCTGACCCGAGTACAAATACTTAAAGTGTCTCGCGATATACATTTTCTAAATAGCTTGAGACACTGTATGTATATGCATATACTCGAATTTGTAACAAAATCGGATTGTCAAATTAAAAATGTAATCTTTTTTTTTTAATTTTAGTGCCATACAATTTTTTAAAAAATATTTAAGATTGGCAGTTGATTAATCGTACAAGAATCTAGCTGTACTTTGTTTAATCCTGATTACTTAATTTTTAGCAGCTCTCTCGTGTATTTTTAATAAGTGTACAAATAATAATAATTATTTTGTATGTTATGTTTGAATTTGTTAAGTTAACTACTTAGTTATGACAATTTGCGTGTAACAACATATTATTATGTTATATTATAATATAACTTAATGATATTTTCGATCAAAGTTTTGATGAAAGAACCTTTTTTTTTATCCAAAATAAGATTCTCAAATTATTTGCCATAATATCAAATTAATTGTAAAATATATAAATTTTTTTTTTTTACCAACATTGTTAAATGTTATCGTATAATATCGTATCACTATGTTTTAATTTATATCTAAATGACTGTACCACTTTTTTTTCTTTTCAACAAATTATCGTGTAATCATTTAGATGGTATCACGTGGTTTTGTCTCTTGATACATTGGCGAATATATTATCATAGTAATATTAATTAATTATGATATATCATTGATGTTTTTATGAAATAAAACGTTTTAGGCATAGAGTGCCACATTACCAATATCCGTTTATTTTGTAATTTATATTTTGCACTGTGGCCTGTAAAATTATTGACACAAAAATGTTACCTCTTATCATTCAGTGCAAGTTAATGATAGATGTTATTATAATAACACTTTGTTCAGTCATGACAGATGAAATATTATTGAAATAGTTACAAGTTAATAAAAATCATAATGAACTAACTGAATTAATTTGAGTGGGATGTGTGACGTTTAAGATGAAATTTATCTACTCACATTTTGACAATCTATCCAAAGGCGACAGAATTTTAGATCTGTACTGCGGATTTGTACCTATTTGTCATTGTTCGCAATTAAAAAGACGGCTAACAACGCGATGCGCAGTTTCATTTCAGATATGAGTTTTATTAGTTATTACAAATAAGAGGTACTTGAATGAAATTACTTATTACGCACTTCGCGTCGCCGTGTATGTCCATAACGAAGGAGCATTGAAGGCGAAGTACTGATCTTCCGTTTGACTTCATTAAAGTTTCTCATGTTTGACTCATAGCCGCAATATTTACTAAAAAGGGGTAGAGCTCGCCATACAACATGGCCTTTTTTTCTTTTTAGAAGCGTTAAGTCCAAGGAATATTCAAAACAAGTACCCTCAAACAAGTATACGGCGTGGTCTACCCATGGCGATTGACAACAACAATAATTTGTTTGTATTTTCCCTACTTATATTTTTATATGATCTTACACGATACAGGCTATAGTAAATTCTTTATCCATAATAGGCGTAGGTACAATATGATATTATACCGGTTACAGCTTCAATCGAACGAACTACAATCAACTATCAAGATGCTACTTTAGAAAACCGCGTAAGACGACAAAATATATGATGATAAACAATATCAAACGAAATAAATAAATTAATGAAATCATTAGCGCTGAGCTGAGTGTAGACAGAAAGCACTAAGCTAGTATCGAAAAATAAATTGCTAACACTACTACCAAGATAGAACAAATACAAAAGCCTTGGACTTTGATAATAATTATTGTGTTATATTTTTTAATTTTATTTAAGAAAAATTGTGATTTAAGGACATTGCATGGGGTCTGTTTTTAAGGAGTTTTGAATAGGCAATATTTAAGAAAATATCTACTATTTCGAAACTTTTCGAAAAACGTCTCCAAGATTTTATTTTTTGCTAACAACTTATTATTTATGGAAAATGGGTAATCAGATAACTCACTAAATTAAAATCAAATGAATCTTTTTGAAGAAAAAAAATAAGTATCGAGATTAAGCCACCTGATTCGATTAAATAATAATCATTGATTAAAAGTGACCTAGTTAAAACTAAATGTCCAATACATAGAATTTACACTCTGGTTTACTCATAATATTATGTTGGTTAATGGTTTCAATTCATTACGTGTTGATCAAATTAACCTAACTAGAATCCAGTTTCGTATCCGTATACGTAGGTACATATACTAGTTTTTTCTAATCCGTTGCATGTACTTACATGCGTGTTAGTAATTATTGTTTATATAGTTGATTTTGTTTGATTACACACATACGAGTATAATTTATCATGATACTTATCATGAGTGTCAGAATTGCTTCTACAAAAAAAAAAGTACCCGGTAATACCTGTACGGTGCGGTATAGGCTATACTATAAAGTATAAACCTTCTATGGATAACACAAAATTAAAAAATCGTGTTCACACCACTATCGACTGTATAGTAAATATGTACTATACCGAAGCAATATCGGTTAACTAGATAAACTTATAAGTTAACTAGATACGCGAGTGAGTTGATTGCATGTTAATGATAAATTAATTTTGAATGTAGTTACAAGACATTTAATTTAACTTACACGAACGCCAATAACAACATACAAATAGGTAAACTCTATTGAGTTTTTTTTCATACATAACATATTATAATGAAAAAAGCACTAACAAGCCTAACCTATGAAATGTGTTTTAAATAAACCGATAAGCGAAAAACATGTTCAAAATTATCATAAATCATAATCGTATGGTCTGAGTATTAATTTTTTTATTATTTATAGGTCTAAGAATGCTTTATTATCAATCTAAGAAATATTGTAATAATTATAAACCCTTCTTCTACAGTCGGGTAAAAATGTATTTCTAAGACTAAGAAACAATTATTAATAGGTAGAACCGTTTGAGTACTTCTTTGAATTGGAGAAATGAGATTGGTTATTTATATTATACGGTTCAGTAACCGCCAAGGATTTTGGTATTAGACAACGGTATGCAAAAAGAAAATAATAAATACAAAACTAATTTTAGTATGTAGTTTACTGCAGAACAAAATATTTAAACATTTATACTTAAATGACTTGATGATTATAATAAGGACTACGCTAAATGTTAATGTAATCTTTGTCGCAGATCAACGTAGATCTCTACCGTGTAGTAATGCAAAGAAACAATGTTATAAAAACAATTAAATTTTTTGAAATCTCATGAGTCGTCGACCGAAACTTATTATTAAACGAGTAATAATAAATCAAAAAAAATTAACATCGTGCACTCTCTGGAGTGGTTTTGCATAAGAAAGATTTACATTATGTTTTATCTACGCAGAGCGCAATAGGCATGTTTTATTTTTTCGCAAGCCTGTACATTGTAGAAAGTGTAAGTGAATTATTTCCTGTGTGGGTGTTTTTTTCGTCGATTTTAAACTAACATTTACGTTTTAAGCCCACCGAAGTGCGAATGGTTCCGTCACGCATGCAAAACACACTGCTATTTACTTGTGTCTTATACTTGATATTTAATAGGTATCATATTATAGGTCTGCCTTGAGACTTCTGTGCCTACGGCTATATTATGATCACCAGCCAGACATTCATGTAAATAATCTGGAAAATCATTTTGAACCTATTAAACGTAATTATTAACTAGTTGTTTATAATATAACTATGATTAATCTACAAGATCTACCTATTAATATTCAAATATGTTTCTTAAACAACGTGGAATTATTGGTTGATACTTTTTAAAATAAAAATTATATAGATACTATAATCGTTATAGCGTGATATAAGTATATATATATATTGCCATAAACTATTTGTAAGTATTTTACACTGTGAACTTTTATTTATACATTTTTTTAGTACATAAAAGCAGAGACGAATAGTTTCAATTTTTTGGGGGTCTTAGGTAAAGTAACTTTTTTTCTGGTTTCGATTTTAGGATTTTAATTTAAAGATTTTGTATCCGTTTTGATTTTCTGGGTTAAAGACATAAAAGTCGATTCCTGTATTTTTACGTTATCTATGTAATATGTTGTATTAATTGTACACATTTATTTTTAAATAGAAGCTAGGTGCATCAATACTATTTTATTCGTTGTATTACGCGTTAGAACCCACAAGTACTCTCGGAAATTCCAAAAAACCCTAAAACACATTACTCCAACATAATACCTATTTTTATTATACAACATACTGAAGTTAAAAAATGGTATGTTATTAGTTTATCACTGTAACTATTGTGACGGATGTTGCTCGTCGTCGGAACATGTTCGGACTTTTATAGGAAATCAAATTGAAAAACAGTTTTCTATCGGAAAACCATACATTATTTAGTGCCGTTTCCCGTCCAACGTGGATGGTAACGGAGTGTGGAAAACCGCCACTTGCGGTTTCGATTAATGCGATTTTTCGCGAGACTTATTGTTTCGAGAAAATGGGTCGGCGGAAGCCCTCGGATCCGTTATTAATTTATTTAATAATAATTATTATTGCCGTTTTCTAGTCGATATCATCGCGTCCACCTCTGACGCGGTTTCCACCGCAAGAGTCAACGAATGAAGCGACTGTTGTTATTATTATTTATTCGTCGAGTTGACACCAATTCCGTTCAGGTGCCACGGCAAACGGTTTCACTTCTCCACGCGGCCAGCAGCACCCGGCACAAGACATGTCTGGCATTTTATTCGTGTTATTATTGTTGTTGATTTGTTTTATTATTTTGTTTTCTTCTTTCCCGCCACCACACCAGTTCTCCGTACCTGCACTGGCGTGTGCCACCGCGGCCACCCGTATGCGTTTCGAGATTATGTTTCGTCGGGTGAATAGATAATGTCCAGGGAGAAACGCGGATTCAGTAGCATTTCACCGTATGTAATTCAGCGCACCTGCAGAACTCAAGTGCCCGTAGCCGTCCCATGCGCGGTTAATAACGATACGCCGTACGGAATACCAATACGGCCGCCACTCATTAGGATAGGTTAGGTCAACTAGCAGCGATATTCCTGTACCAAATTTAGAGTCTAGCCGAATTTCAGTCGGTAAAAAATTGTCCTAATCCGTACGAGACCTTATAAGACCGATGACGAATCGAGGTCAACAATCGCAGTCCATCTATCCCGTGTAATATTATCCTGGTTTTTGTTCGTTGTTCTAATTTAGAAGAAACAGTTATTATAGCTATAAAGAACCAACAGTGGACAGAAATCTTAAAATGTAATTATTTTACGCGACTTTGTTTGATAACCATAATATAATATGGAAATAACCCGTCCCATTAACAGTTAACTGCGATTTACAAGAAAATAATTAGGTTAACTGCCTGGGTTAATCCAGGTTAATCTATTGATCGAAGAGTTAAAAATTATTAGATTTAAACGAGCCGTTCAAACCAAAAATCATCACAACTTTCGATAGCTTGTTAAAAATAATTATGAAAATTATCATCACAAGAAGCACAGTAGTAAATGGCACAAGACAAAAGTTTACCTTCAAAACGTTTTTGGTAAATTTTGGTTTTAAAGTTGAGTATTATGCTATTAATATTTATTTCAACGATGAGAACGCGAAAACCTGTTTTTGTAAATGTGATGTTTAATTATTATATTAGGCGTTCGTTTTTTAAACTAGAAATATGTTGTTGAAATACCACCTTCCAAACAGCAGTTCTAGCCGATAGAAATTTGATGACACAGAATATATATATATATACACTATTATCATAATAATTAATAAATATTAACTACCCAGATAGCTAAGTATAAAATTAATATTTTAAAAGTATCGTATCAATAAATTAAAAACATGTTTAGACACTAACAGTTTAAACTTTAAAATATTAAAGTCGCACGATTTTTAATTTCTATACATCGTTTTTATTTCGTTTGTTGAACAAACAAAAGTGTTACATTATATTAAAATGAAAGCACATCAAAGAATATTTAAAGCATTAAATTATTATTCATATAGTTATTTAGTATATTTATCAAGATGTATACATTTTAAATTACCTTAGGTAAACACAATACTAATTTTCATATGCATATAATATATAATCATAAATTTACTATAATTGAAAACTTGATCTAAGTAATGAAAATAAATATTTATTTATACAGTTAGTACAAAATTAATTAAATGAATCTCATTGGCTTAAACTTTTTAGCTCAAACAGCAAATTCCTTTTTAAATCTGTCAAAACAAATACAATACGAATGTAATAATTATTTAATTATAGTTTTATAGGTTCAATAACCGACATACTAAAGTAGTTTAAAATTGAAAAAAACATAACTTTAATCAAATTGTTGACATCATTCTATGGTTCTGTAAAAATTTGGAACAATAATTTGTGGCGTTATTGTTTATGGCGTTCAATTATTGACTTGAAATATACAGTAAAGAAAATACAATTTTAGGTTGTTAAGTCTTAACTAGTAACTTTACGTACCTAAATGAAACAACTGTAATCCGTTTACCTTATCATTCATTCATTTTTAATTCTATGGTTCATTTTAATACATTTTTAATTTAAGAAAATATATACAATTTTTTTTTTAATAATAACATACGTCGCACCTATCAATTATTAATTGCGCTGTGAATTTAACTATATAATAATATAGGTGTAGTTGATTAAGTTGTTAAAGTTTTTCTAGCATTTCAAAATGAAAACAGGTTTATACCAATTACTATTAAAATATGAATACAGAAATAAAACTAATTTTATTTCCGGTTTCTTTACTATTGCTCTTTAACTATAAACAAGATAAAAATCTTTCAAGTATTGAAATGTCATAAGAAAATATGCTGAGCTCACTGAAGTAACTAATACAATGGATTTTTACTATCATAACTCATAAGATATAATAATGGTACCTATTCAACTCTATGATGTACAGCAATCTGCTATTCATAAATGTCACTACTGAGCATAATCGTAATAATTGTTGAAATCGAAAACTCGTTGTACGTAATAAATTATTATTATGTTACGAATATTTTAATGATGCAATAAAATCCATAATAATTTTGTTTTCCTACATACAAAATAAATATATAGTAATAACATGAATTTAATGGCATTTACCACGTGAATACTTTTAATGTTAAATTATTTTAAAACTAATAAAACACTTCAATTACTTTATTATAAGTGGCTTAATTAAGTGCCAGAAATTATTTGGTGCACCATAACAGTTATATTACAATAATAAAATTGTCATGGAAATTAAAAGATCGAAGACCCTTACCTCGTATTTAATTGTACATAATACTATATTTGATCAGTCGGGATCATATGTTTATTGGTCAATGATACATTTTATTATATTTTTGCCGTTGGTACGGACATTTTTACTTTCTAATTTATAGAATTAGCAAATTTACTATTCAGTGTAGTTCGAACCCGAGTGCTACAACTATATTTATGTATCTAAATTCTAATTCCACAACCGTTCAATGTAAGGTATTAGATATTATACTAATCAAATGTTTAACTATCGTGTTACAACAATTTGATTTCAACATGTGTGATTGTTCTTCAAGTTAAGATTGTTTACTGACGTGGACTTGGGAGTTTCACTGACATAATACTTAAGTGCCAAGAAGAGGGGTGTTATTTCCCAAGATTTAATGAAGCCCAAAATCACGTTTAGAGATAACTATTTGAGCATGACCTAAGTAAATGATACATTTTAAGCGATATACAGACAAAAATTAACTTTCTCGTTCACAAAGCTTGCCAAGCACTTTACATTTTATTATAATACACGCATTGTGTTAATTTAATTGTTTTAATAATGATAATAAAGTAGGTATATGTCATTAACCTTTTGCTTCCGGGCTTCTTTCAATTTACAGCACTGAGTAAACCAAAACGGGTTTTTTAGTGATTTTGCGTGCATAATAAACGTGAGAAATTTTTAAGAAAGCGGAATGTAAATCATAACACTCGTGATCGATGTGCAAGTATACATATAATATAAGATGTATGATACAATTATATAGTATAAGCTGTTCGATAAAGGCATCCAGTACCCCACACTGTATGTGTAAATGTTTTTATTTGTAGATCTACAGTCTACAGATGTACACATGTGTTCCTTGGCTCTTGTGGTTCACCCCGAAGGGATCCTCAGATGTACACAATACACATTGGCTGTGTCTTCGCTTCTACCATTTGCATATAAGCCCTTAAGATCGGATCGAATTCCTCGACAAATCTCGTCTCTATTGCCATTGGGGTAAACACAAAAAGGGGAGAAGTTCGAGTAGACTTAGACTTCCGAAATTCTTTCAAGTTTTTCTAAAATAACAGCTACAGAATTGGACCTTTTACGGTAATGACACTTATACGTGCATGTGTAATGTGTATGTATAGCGTAGTAGGAAATTTCGACATTAAAGTTTATCGACGTTGACGGCATTTTCGAGTGTAGTAGCGGTGCGAGCTATATTTTCGCTCCAGATACTTTAAGACATCGTAACTCCGGGTGTTTCGTAACGTTTCAGACGAGATACACACCGCAAACGACCATAAAAAAAATTAAATGTATATAAATATAACTGTGCTCTCATTCGACGGAATTCATCGTCATAACGAAAACATACACACGAAAACCGCATCGACAAGGCGGCGACGTTGCGCAAAACCAAAAAGCTTGCACCGGCCCAGAGGACGTCGACCGTCCATATGTGTACTCAAAGGTGGTCAACCCGAACACACAATTATGTCGCGCGACACGTGCGAATTTGGCGGCGTTTACTTTCTTCGACGACAATAATAATGATAATGATAATAATAATAATTTTACCGATAATACATTATAACAGTCACGTGCCCGGGACCAAACGGACGCGCCGCTCGGCCGTCGTCGGATTTATAGTATTGACTATAGGTAGCCTACTTTCTTCTGTGGTGTGGATAGTGTGCATTTGTGTGAACCGGCAAGCGGCACCGTCTCTCCGTCACTGTTATACACGCCGGAGACCGACCAATAAACCCACATTCGTTTTCGTTCGTTCGACTCGTCGCCACCGTTCTTGGCCGTGTGCTCGTATATTATATCTTATACCGACACACGCTATTGAGGTGTACAATATATCATTGCTTTAGACCATCAGTCCGGCGTATCAGCTCACCGGCAACCGCGTCTACCAGTTTATCCGCGACCGCGTCCTGGATCGTCCGGGAACACCGAGTGACTTACCCGGTTAACTGTTAATCGTTTACGGTTTTTTTTTTTTTTTTTTAACAACCGTTGAATTCAAAAAGCTAGCTACACCGGTATCGCCTTGTATTCGGGAGCTCCCGCGCAAAAATCGTTCCAGTTTATTTCCAGTAAGTATAACACGGATTATTGAAATTCACTATCCGAAGTATAAAAACTGTTCGACAATAATCTAACACGTGTAATCAGTTTCCTCGGAATGTTGAAAGAAAAATAACACAAATAACGTTGTTGTTCTTTAGCGACGAGTGACGATAAACATTAAAAGCGTTGTAAATTAATTATTATAAAATCAAGAGGGAGAAATTAACACCCCTAAAATGCACGTTAACACACAAAAGAGGCCAATGGTAGACCATTAATAGGATAACTAAATATGCAACTCTGGACCTTTTTAAGCATAAGCAGATCCATTTCGATATTGTTTATCAAAATCTAGTAGACACCAATCGAAAACCAAAAATATTTTTGAAAAAAATTGTAAATCAACAGACACCATACTAACTCCCTATACTCGCACCCAACAATGTCATAAACGAATTATTAGCGAAATCACTCAAAACAAAAGTAGTTTTCCCTTAAGAGTTAGGTGATACTGTGAGCATTGGTACGGGATGAGAAATTGGAAATTTAATATCAAAATATATGTTCCGTCAATATATGTATATGAGCACTCTGCACTCTTATTCTAAAAGTGAAAAGTGAAAACAATACGATTGCTCCTATAAATATTGCGGTATCGTTGTTAAACACAGGCTTTCGCTGAGTCCTCTAATTTAATTTTAAAAGCTCATATCCGGCTAATGTTTTCTTACTAGGTTAAAGCATTGAGCACTCAATGGTCATAGTCGGTAATATTGTTGGTCATACTTCTGCTATGTATGCACGCTACACGTTAAGCAAAACATATTTTTTATCGAAATGAGGATATAGTCACTTAAGATACAACACTTCATATCTCATTTTTCTCGACTTTACAAAAGACCAAAAAAATCAGTTTAATTATCATTCAACAACATTTTAACCATGTAATCAATTATTCCATTATAGCGTTATCTATTGACCTTATCCTGAATCTGAACCTATCAGTCGATTCCCCGAGAATTGTTCAATAAAACAGTATTGCTAATTCAATTCGGCCAAATAATAAGATATGAGGTGGTGCATTTAAAGCGACGATATGACAATCTAAAAAATGTCTATTATCTTAGTAGTGGCTTTCTCGATTATTTAGTCCTTACCCCCAAAAATTTGTCTGTAAGACTATAATTATCTAGTATAAAAATATATAAATTCAAGGAAAACAATTCAAAATCTCAAAAGTAATCGAGTGAAAACTTTTCCCCATTTAATAATATTTTTTGATTAACTACTACGCAAAGAATGTCTGAGTATCCGTTAGTAATAAGTAATACTTTCTACTAATTTCAAATGTATATATACCTATATATATATATTTTTTGTGATTCGTTTTGTTATTGAAAAGATATATTACAGAAACAATTTTAGCGTCACCATATCAGAACTTTGTTTTATTTTGTAATTTAAAACCGTTGAAACTTGTTAAATAATATCAATTCTAGAAATATAAAATAAGTTGCATTTTTATCATTAAATTAAATAATAATATAATATGTAAATTATATTTTTGTTCTGCCTAAACGAATTCTTAGTTAAAAATTAAAGTTCCACTTTGTTCTCTAAATGTACTATATAATGTACTAACTTATATACCCTCATATCAAAATCAGTTATCACATATTCAAATAACTAAACTTTACCGGTTTCCCATGAGAATGACGTTGCATTTTATTTAGAGACACTATTTTTGGTATTCCGACGTTAACATCTCTGAATAGTAATTTTGTAACCAGTGCCAGTACCGTTGTAAAATCCATCAAAATCGTCGTACTGTGTCGTTGACTTATGTAGATGGGAGGATTCACGGATCACAAAAAACCCAAACTAACGCGTTCCACAACTCATCTTTGCCTATTACATGCGCTGAAGTTACATAAATTTGGTCGTGTTTATTAGGATAAATTACACACAATGCGAAATAAGAAATCAGTATCCGGTAAATGCCGTGCGTACCTAATGCACACAGTTGCTCAATATATACTAGCAATTAAGTGCAGGGCAGCACAACTATAGGCGTTCAAGATAGATACATATGTTATGTGTAACAAAATTCACGTTGACCATAATATATAATTCGGTATGTGTAACAAATATAACAACACACACTCGGAACACTCTGTTATTATTTCAGCTACGAAACAAGTGAATGAAACCGAGCTACATATAATATAGTATAAGTTATTTAGCCAGGTCCAGAATTTTTTTTAAATTTAATTATAATACAAATTATATTTACCTAAGCGAATAAAAAAGAGGAAAGTCAAAATACAACGTTCGACATAATGTTATACACAAAAATTGAAGTCCAATACTTTATTATTTTAATTCAATAATGCTATTCATTTAAAAGGTGTGAAATTCTAAAAAATAAAGTAAAAGATGCTATTTTTCAATTTGACTATAAAAAATAACTAATTAATAATTTTTACTTACATTATCATTCAAACTTTTCTTACCAAAATTTAATATGAATTTACTTTCCCAATAATTAACATTATACAATACAGCACTAACATATTATAGTTATATAAGTATTCAGAATAACTACCTATACACAGAAAAATTCCAGTAATACATGTTGAACGTCTACTATGAATACTTAAGTAATATACATTTTAGTGCTAATGTAATACAAGACCAACTAATATTACAGATCACTTTTATACACGTTTGACTTTGTTGAGATTGATTTTTTTATCCGAAATATTAATTTTAAATTTGTTTCAACTTGTCATGCTTTGATTCGAACAATTGTTTGACCAATAGCTACTGAATTAATTGTTACTCTTAGCTACTTAGAAATTAAATATGGATAAAAATAAAAACGCGTAAGTACAGTACTTATTCAGTAGTTGGTACTACTGGTTCGGATTGATATACATACTGAAACTCAATAACGTTAAAAAAATAAGCGGGTAAAGGCAAAATTAAGAACGAATTTAGTGTGTGCACATCTTGTTTTGTTTAAGTATAGTTATATTAACTCGTTTCTTATATTTTCTATGTATTTTTTGATAGAGAAAATATATCTTTATTTAATACGCCACTATTAGTAAGAAGATTTATAAACGAAATTATAGACGTTTTAATAAATGATAACTCATCTGTCGGGTTACCTATTTTATTTCGTATAAATCAAATCAGAAAATATAATAATAAAATAACAATAATAATATACGGTAGTCTATCTACTTCGTGTAATGTCTATTTTTAAAATAAACGCTCGAAGGCAAAACGAAACAGTACATTTCCCATAAAGGCAGTAGGACAATATAATAATTCGAGTTTAATTTTCTTACAATACTCGACGTTTTTTCATACTTATTTCATATTACCCGAGGCTACTCAAAGTAATCGTTTTTATTCTTAGTTTGTGCTTCCCAACGCATACCGTTCATTGGGTTAGATTAATATGAGGTTCGAGTGTTCTAAAAACAAAATGTAATAAGTGTGAAGTCGTTATAGTATAATTTAAATAATGTTATGTGTTCTCCCGGTCAATGTAATAACGTATAATTTCCTACCGGTTAACTGCCAGGTCTCCACGGATAGTAATTTCGCTATGACCTATTGATGAAATTACTATAATATTATTTCCAAGCCGACGTGTAAATGTATAACTAAATCCTAAACAGATCGTACGCGGAGAAAGTATATTAGTATTATTGGTTTATTAAACTTGCGAATGATCTGTGCATGCACGGTTTCATAGGTTCTAACATAATATTTAGATGTTAAAAAATGAGAGGGAGATTTACTTCTGACAAACATGATTGTATAGCTTTGAATTCGTTGAACAATAATCACGATTCACGGAACTTCAGGATATTTTCTCATTTCAGCTGAAATGTATGTTATTTCAAGACATACAACCGTATAGTAAATTTGTACAACAGTGTATTTGCACAGCATTTGTACTACCGTACAAACACTATTTGAATACAATTTGAATTGCAGCTGTTGTAACTGTATAGTTTTCTCCGTGTAAGTCCATCCAAACAATAGTAGTTGTTATAAATTGCCTAACTTGTGATTACAAAAATTTCAAAAGCATCATTGTCTACATCCATGGTACCATGATGATTATTTTAAATACACACAAAACGCTAATTTGTATATCTTGCACAAAACTAAAATCCTAAACATTTATGCATGCCGTTTTGTTTATGAATTCATCCTCAAAGTAAAGAAAAGGATTTTAAAGAAAAACATGTTAGTTTTATAAGAATATAAAAGCAAATGTTTAGGTAATATAATTATTTTCTTTTTTGAAAATGATCTAGTCGTTATAGGTTAATATTAATAATTTATACATTTATTATAATAATTGTAATTAAACACTCAAACGTTTTTCGAACTTTTTTCCGTTTTTTTCTTCTTTATAATATTATTATTGTTTCATTTCAACAAAAACGTTTTTTTTAATTACTTTTGTTGCAGTCTGTAGTTACTAGCTGCTAAGCGTTTATTCTAAAATAATCCCCTAACATACATTATATTATGTTTTTCCCATTGTACCTACTCGTGACCGATGACTTGACCCGTGATGTCTGTAGATTTTATACCGATATACCGAAGTACCATTATTTTTGTACCTATTTGCAGTATCGCGACAATAGGTTACGGCTTATTTTTTATGTTTGCGATTGTACGACCAGGACGTCGTATACACAAACGGTACATATGTGAAAATTAATGATAATCAATAGAGAATTGTCCCGACTCGGTTATTAACATTAAAAAATTAATATTCGCGTCACAAGTAGAGAAAATCGTTTTCGTTTAATCCGGCGGAAAACGTGACTCAGATTTTATATGATAAATTATGTTCATGCAATTGTGTTCATTCAATCCTTGCACATTATAATGCCGCGTTACAACTTACACGATTTTTACATCTTACTTGACGATTACTCAATGGAAAAATATAAATTCAACCAGTTGATTACCTACGACGTTATTACTCTCGACGGATCGAAAGCCTTTTTTATTACAGATTTCGAATTTACATCGCGTAAACACTAGCAAAATAACCGCAAGTATAGTCAACCGCCGTTTCTAATCCGTTGGAGTTGGAATACATTATTTAAAATAAAATAAACAAGCGGCTCGTATAAGTAATTTTATAGGCACTACTTCCATATTATGAATGAGTTAGCTAAACATAAATTAGCCTTAATTATTTTAACTTATTTATATCTACTTCAGTTTTTTAAAAAAAAATATTAGAAAGTTTATCGTTGCATTTTTTCAGCTTCGATACGAACTTTAGAGGTATTTAAAATACCTTTTTATATTTACAACTATGTAATACATTTCATCATGCCATTTTATTGTTTATGTTTCTGCGATAAAAACATACAGTTTACTTAATCAATAATACAGCTGTTTAATCGCTTTCAGTAAAAAAAATTAAGACGCTTATAATTAATAGATATGGTGAAAATAGACAAGCCGGTTTAAAGCTGGAAAATCAAGAATATCGTTTGTACGTATAACTATCAGAATGTTAGATTTTTTACACGTATTATTAAAATTAGTTATGCATTAAAATACTTAGAGAATCTTTAAGTTAAAATTATAAAAAAAAAAAATTGTATTAATATTTAACTAGATATTTGTAAATTTACTAAGAAATGTCAGTTTGAGTTTCACCATTTGCATTTGGAATATTTTAGAAATTGGCTCACTTTAGAATGCTGTTGAAAGTTTATATGAACATGTTTTCAGGCAATTAGTTCTACTGCCATATATTGTCATTGATTTGCGAATTCTCGTAAAAATATTATCATACACATATTAAGTTAAATATCCTCTGATTTGGAGTAATGAACTGGATATAACGACATAGGGTCTATCCTATTAAGTTAAAATTAGTAAATATAATAAGTGTATACCAATTATAATAGCAAATAAAAGTTAGTTTATTAAATATAAACGCATACACATATAATATATAATTATTTGTTTTTAAATGGAGCACACAATACACCTATGTTGTATTATACTTGACCGTAAATTTAAAAAAAAAAACGGGAAAACGGTATAGCGGAACTGAACACCGTATACAACTATTGCGTGAAAAATGTACATATATTTTTTTTTCCAGGTAAATTGTATAATATTATACAAAATATTTGCTTTGTTTGAGCAAACACTTATAGTAAAGAAATACTGTAAACATTACCGTGCGAGAGTATTTTTTTTTTTTTAGAAGGTCAATGTCGGAGACGGCACTAGTGAAAGTATAACCTTCACTGCGTACGCGCACCGTTGATTTACAATAAGGGTTTTTCACTGGACATAGCACCAACTCCTATACTTCTTAGGTACTAAAAAAATTTGCTATTCCTTGTGTGTAAACAGTAAACACGGGAGACCGTCATTGCATTTTTTTTTTTTACTCTAATCTACTGTGAAAACACGTAGAGAAACGGCATTGTACACCCATTCGTGTTTGATGTTCTAAACCGAGTAATTGCCCAACTCTATTGTTTTACTAGATTTTTTTTTATGTATTATTATTCCAAACGCGACGGCAGACGGTGAAGAGATTGTTGATAGTTTTACTAATTAAGACAAAAAGAGACAGTCGTTTTTGAAATTTAACGTTTTTTAACGTCGAGTCGTCAAAATTCAATTTGTATCGTATGATTTCCTAGTTATGAAACCAAAGGTGATGATAAAAATCGGTTACAATCTTATCGCGTATGCCGCTTCTGGGATGAGGCTAGTAATTGACTCGGTTCAATTTCAAAAGAAAAACAATACTTTTCCCCTGTGCCCTTCATATAGATTTCTTTATTCCGCGCTTAAGATAGTTACGATCAGGAATAACCACATGAATATGAGTTGACATGATATATTTTATAAATACATTTTGTTTTCTAGTAGTTTGTAATTTGTTGTTAAGAAGTTGCTGTTGCTGAGTATTGTCACCCCTTATTTAAATATCAACCGTCGCCTAGACTTTAAGAGTACTCGGACCATGGACTATATTCCTATATTTACAATCTATTGCGGTTGACCATTTCAGTTGTCAGATTGACCGCGACAATTATTACGTTTACCCCGTTCAAAGAAACCTAAAGAAATATATTATTATAGTTTCTTTTAGTTTTTGGTGAATAATAATTCATTTTTAACAAATAAAATTTCGACGAAATACGACGTAACATAACATCAATGGTAAAACAGGATGGTCACGACTAGTATTTTTATAGTGACTAAATTTTTGTTAAAATTTTTTCAAGACTAAATAATAATAATAATAATAGTCGATACCTACCCGATACACATAACGGCTGACGGTTAATGTTGGATAAGTGCATGTCCGTCGGTGACGGGTCATATGACATGTTATGTGACGCGTTAAATTTGAATACTCCCGTACAATATAACCATTAAATAATAAGCAGGTACGTTGTAACCGATGAGTTATGATCGATAAAAAATGTAAAAAAAAAAAAAAACAAATGCAAAATTACGAATAACTGCAATTCGTACGTGGTACACGTTTGTTTGACGCAGAGAGCACTTTCTTTTTTCGTTTGTACGTGTGACCGTTTATGATTTGAAGCGTTGAAAATAATGACACATTTTTCTCCCGGCCTGACAAATGAATAGGAAACGAAATTGAACGTTAGCCAAAGAAAACCCGTCAAAAATTAGAATTCGTTGAGAAATATAATATTGTATTACGATTTATGTATACACACATAGCGGTATAATAATATTGAGTATTCACGAGATCTAGATCGTCCGATCTAGCTAGAGATCATCGTAGAGAATATCTGCGTGTTTATGAGAATTACAAAGACAGAATACGGTTTTCATTTTAGAAAACGACACCGTTGTACTGAAAATATTAATTATGAGTACCTTAACTATATCAACTATTTCAAGGGATCACGTAAAGAAATTGAGTAGAAATGAAAATTCAAAAATTTCCTTACTGCCTTACTGATTATAAGACCCGTGTACAATCATTATAAGTACTTTTCTCCTTCTACCCCACCACTAAATTACCGGCTATTTAGGATTGGTAAACCTGGTCCTTAACCTTAACCAGTCGACCAACATTAACTTAAAATGGGTACCGTTGTCAGACTATGGTGGACGAGTAACGTCTTGATGCAACGACGGGCGATTATATTGTATATTTAGGTGTATGGTTTACTTTGACAGTTAGAAGTATTAATATTGATTGTGCAACTAGGTATAAAAAAAAAGGCAAATGTGTTCAATGTCCTGAAATTTTTATTGGTTTGTTTGGCAAAGTGTTAATTATTAACAACTATTGTGGAAACGCTCTGCACTAGGGAAATCTGGGCGCCTGCGAATCTGTGTTAAATAATAAGTTACGTCTAATGTATTATACAAAGTTTTAGATAATTAATTGCGTTTCTTTATTTTGATTTTCCTACTTCGGGCGTTGACAATCACAATAATTTACTATTATTGTGTCTTATTCATGCTTGCCCGGGCACATAGGCCAATAAGCATGCGCGTAGAATGCCTGCCTTTATTCGCTTGAACTGTTCCGCCTAAATTAATGGAAAAAAAAAATGTTTAAAGAACAGTGTATTGTAATCTAACAATTTGATTTTGATCATTAAAAATGATAATATTAAATATTTGAAAATAACAAAGATATAATAAAAAAAAATATTATTTTTAAGATTATGAATTACAGAATATGAATTACAAAATGAGTTTTAAAAATTATGGGAAAATAAGTTTTTAAACTCAATTTTAATAAAATATTAGCTTTTTATAATTTAATTATAATTGATGTACACAATTAAAAAATATTAGTAAACTTTATTTTACTACACATAAAAACAATTAATTAGACATATGAATAAGTAATTTGTACCGTAGTCACAATTATTTTTCGCCAACACTGGTATTCTAGAGTACAATACTTAAATTAATAAACCTCATCATTAAACCTAAATGCATAAATCTAACATTTCCCACTGGGGGAATAGTATAATAAACCCGAGCTCAAGGTTCATCAGTACCTACCGTGCCTACTCATATTGTATTAATTTAATTTCCAAATCCATTATAAGAATTAATTTTGTTTACGTTATGCATATATATATATGTATATATATAGAACAGGCAATAGCTGCAACTGATTTTGCGGAATTGCCAAGTCGTTAGTAAGTCATTGATGTTAAAAAAAACAATTTTACAAACATTTGAAAAAAAAAAAATTCTAATTTTATCGCGAGGTGGAAGAGGATATTTTCTCTTTTTTTTATAGTATATTGTAATTTCTCATCGCTAGCCAAATATGACATATCTTTTATTCAATTAGTGTTTTGGAAGACACTTTTCGTTCACCGATCATTATGCGCAGAATACATATCTTGATAAATAATGGTATTTTTGTAATATAATATATATGTGGTAGATATTAAATTTGGATATACGACATTAAGCTTTTTTGTTTAGTTTAATTACAACACAATTTATCGGTTTGGAAAGGACTATATATTTATTGACTAACAAAATAAAAAAATGTAGGTTCCGACGTTCCCGGATAGTCCGGTTACAACGATCAGTTCCGTCTGGTGTCAAGAGTATGCAACACAACGTACACACCTACTTTAAGTGCCAAAAATTTCACCTCCGCCTTAGATGTAAACGTGCGCAGTTTTAATGATTTAATCGTTTCAGCGCTTGTATCGACGTTAATTTGTCATCAATAAATTCATATCATGTCAACATATCCGCCTCGTGTTCGTACATTTTTTTGTAACACGAAATAATAATCATCAAACAACGTTTTGTAATTCAGGATCACACATTGGCGTTTTATTTAGATATACAGTTTTCAATAATACGTTTTTTTTAAAAGACTTAAATTCACATGTTCTTATTTTTTTTTAGGTGTAAATGGGTTTATCAACAAAACAATGAGCTCAAGGATTTCTACTCGTTGGATTTCTTTTAATATCCTCTTGGGTATGTATTTAATACTAAGCACACGCGACCCTGTTTAATTGAAGTACTATATCATTTTTGCGGTTGTTATTTTAGGGATTATTTCATTCGTTAATGGTGAACACTTCTTTTTACCAAAGGAAAACAATGTAAGTAAAAGTCAACGAGTGTCTTATACTTTTAAATAAACTGGACTCTAATATTAAGTAATTTTTTTTTAGGGGTACTCAAACAATTTGGATGACGATTGGGTGCCCATATCTGGGATTGACAAACGATCGACAAAATTCAGCCACACTTACACGCCGGTCATTCACATAACACCTCCGGTCCGATTTCACAACCGGCCGATCAACCAACAACCGGCGGCAGCGGCTTCCAACAAAGTGGAAGTATTCGCCCAGCCGCCGCCTTCCATACTGGGCTCGTTCAGCGAATTCGGGCACGCCACAATCGAAGCGCGGGAACCGGCCCACACGTTGAACTTCAGACCGAGTTATAACTTTGACAGGCACTACGAGGAGATCAACGATCGGCGGTATCAACAAAACGATTACCAGGAACCCGCGGAAGAACAAAAGCCACTATCGATCGTCGGGTTCAACGCGCAGCAGCGTCACCCGCAAACATATCACAGGACACACACGCCACAATCCGGCCAGTACTTCCAGTACCAGACCAACCACAAAAGTCCAGCGTACAGCAAAGAACAGCAAACCGTCCAGGAACCGTACAAGAGACCGACCCAATACTACGCGCCTAACGATCACGGTGTTTATTCGCGACCGGTCGGTAACAAACAGGCGCACGTCGAACAGCGGCCCAAACCGCCGACGTACCTGACCAATACTGACGCGGCCGTTCAACCGCAGCAGTTCAAATCGACCACCGAAGGCAATCCGTACTTCCAAAAATATCCCGGTCACGTGGACGGCCAAAAGCTGTTCCCTCAGATATCGAATTTCGCCAGACCATTCGAACAGCCCATCGACCACAACGTGTACATCAAACCTAATCAGCTCGTACACAATTTTAACGTGGGCTCCGAAGTGAGGTTCGGACAGGACCTCGGCGTGACCAAGCCCACCGCGCCGTCACTCGACCTGTCGTCGGCGTTCGCGCATCCTTCTACCAGACCTTTCAGCAGGTTCCCCACGGCGCCGTCTAACAATCCTGAACTGTTCCGCATTTTCCCCGTTAAGGAAGTAAACGCGTTGCCGGCATTCCTGCCCACGCCTTACACTACCGACAACGGTGAAGTGCAACGGCCCGCCATCGCAAGTTCGTCGTACTATAACAAAGACATCAGCGCCGGTTCCGAAGAATACGTAGGTGGCGAACAAGACGAGAACGAGTCCGGCGAACAATACGGATTCGTCAAGAGTCCCGTACCGACGACCACAACCACAACTACACAAGCGCCACCGCGACCACAGCGCAGGAGAAAACCGGCCAAAACTACAACCACGGAAGCTCCGGAAGACGAAGAATATGCTGTACCGCTGCAACAGGAAGAAGAGCCGACCACTCCGCATTACGTGTTTGAATCGGCGCCAATTAAGTACAAGAAAAAGAAACCGTTACCGTCTTCGGTGTATTCGTACAGGCCCAGAGAACCCGCAGAACAGTCGGAAGACAGTGGGTATGCAGTCGAACAACAGATCACGCAAGCGCCAACGACAACGACCACAACGACGACGACCACTACAACCACACCACAACCGATCACCACTGCCGCTGCCGAGACCGAATCGTTGGCCCTCAAGGTGAGGACCAAACCTAAGTACGGAAACGGAACACGACCCAGGTTCAGCATAAAAGATTATAAAACCACGCCATCGACGACGACCACCGAAAGATCGGCTCCACAACCGTCGCCGATTCGCCGGACGACAACGACAACGACCACAAGTACTACGCAAGAACCGGAAGCGGTTGAACAGACGACCGTCAGAAAAACGTACAAACCGCGTACCCGACCGAATCGATTCAAATTGTCGACCACCACCACCGAAGAACCGCAAAACGAACCGGAGGCGACCACTGAACGGCGGACGGTGTACCGGTCCAAGTACAAGCCGGGCAAGTACAGCTACAACCGGATGAGGACTAGTACCGAGGCGGCCACTGAGGCCGCGGCTGTCGAAGAACAACAGCCGGCCGAGACGTCCCGGCCAGCCGCCGTGTACTCGGCCAAACGGCGGACACTGCCCAAACATCAGACGCCGGAGACCGAGGGTAACATTTTACGCCGAAGCTCCGTGCCACCCAACGAGAAAGTCGCGGAAGTCATGGAGACCGCGTCGTCTGAAGACGTGGATTACATAGTGACCAGCACCGCCAGCACGTCTGGACCGTCCAACCACAAGTATCATTCGTTTGCGCCGGAACGACCGCTCTTACCGATCGAAGCATTCTTCCAGTCTTCGTTAACCGGCAAACGACATGTCCTAAGATGACCGGTCACACAATTCTAGCTAAAAAATCATGCTCAATACTAACAAATTAGTCTTAACGTTTATTGGTCAGAAATGTAGTTATTCTTATTTCCTTAAAGCGATTTATATTAATATCAAATATGATACCCCCGGAAATCTGATTTTAATAAGAAATATTTTGTCACATAAATCGATTTGTAATATTCGTTATAATAATATGATAAAATGTTTCTTAAATTATCTAGTGCTAATCTGATTAGATAATTTAACGATTTGATTTTTTTATTCTACGAGAGGAATATTCGGTTTCAAATTTGATTTTTCAATCTAAATAATACTACACCAGAAAATATGTTCTTGTGTTATATTATTGTAAACAGTAATTTTGTTATTTTTTTTTAGAAATGTAAATAAAATATTATTTACAAATAATACTTAGTTTGTAACTTTTTATATATATATTTTTTTGTATTTATATACTTACACTATTTATTTAAATAATACAAATAATTGAAACTTATTAACCATTTTCATTTGTACGGATTACAGACATATCATTTTTTTATACACCACAACAATATAGATACTGTACATATAGCTGCTGTTATGGTAATTTTTTAAAAATACTTTATAGCTTTTCAATAAGTTGATATCGTACAAAAATAGGTATCTTTCGTTTGTGTGATTTCCGTTTCCTTATACTCAGCTAGGCACTACTATCAAAAATGTTTATACTTAAAATTATGTTGTTTAATCTATTATAATTTTTAAACCCCATATCGTACATTGTATAGTATAATATTATTTAAAAAAGATTTGTCACGTTAGATGATAATTAATATTTTGTATTTCAATAGACTTATAACAGACAATAACGTCCTAACCTACTTTAGAAAATAAGCTAATTTATTATGTAAACCATAATATCTTACAAAATAAAGATATAGATCAAAATAAAGTATTATGTTTGTTTTGTAATCTTTTTGTTATTTATTTAAGTATAAATTATAATAGTAATTTCGTGTAAAAAACTGTTACGAAACAATGTTATGAATAAAAAATACAACACATAAATTTGCTAAATAGTATTTTTACTCTATTATAGTTTTTTAATCATTTTGCAATGCCATATTTATATTTTACACTTATCTATTTCAAAATAACTTATTAAATATTTCATTTATCGACAATAACACAATATATTATACTAAATAGTATAAAAACATATTTATTGCGCAAGTTTAAAACCACTTCACAATATAAATAATTTTAATAAATTATAAGTACACCTCATATTTTTTATTTATACACAATATGACTTCCAAAACATGTTTTCAGCTTTTTTATCTGTATTCTAATTGTCTTTTAACGTCAATATGTTAACATTTTGAGTCTCAATCCATAAAAAATATGTTTTTATTTGTAAGCAAAATGACGAAGTTTAAATATTATTATACAATTATAACATGTTTGACCACTGTAAGTGTTTGTTATTTGCCGATGATTTGAAGCTGTATAAACAAATTCAATCACCCAGCGATTATTATAAATTGTAGTTTGATTTGGATAAATTTTATATGATAGGTACTCATTAAAAAACGGATTGAAAATTAATGAGAGTAAATGTTTAAAAATTACTTTTACAAGAACTCAATCTTACAATTATCACCAGTATATAATTAATATCTGTAACTTCATTGCTGTAAATCATGTTAAAGATCTAGGAGTTTTTCTATCAAGTGATTTATCCTTTACAAAACACATCACATATATTTGTAATAAAGCTTCACGTATATTAGGATTTTTAAGACGGAATTGTAATGAATTTAAAGATGTTGCATGCCTAAAATCTTTATATATTGCACTTGTTCGGTCTATCTTGGAATATGGATCTATTGTATAGTTTCCATAAGTGGCTTGTGATATTAATAATATTGAATCTTTACAACATCGATTTCTAACTTTATTATCTTGCAAGCTAAACAATAATGAAATTAAACATAAAACATTGCTTAATAATCTAAAAATGCATTCTCTTTTATACATAAGAAAATGTCTAGATTGGAAGTGACAGTCCAGAAATATTGAATTTAATACCCAAAAATGTTCCACGAGTATCACTTCGTTCCTCTCCTGTGTTTTATACAACGCAATTCATGCAACTTTCACTATATTGTTTTATAGTTGATTTGTATCGATTTTTTTGTGGTTTTATTACATAGTTACTAAAGGTTTGGTGCCAACCTTCATTCCAGAACATATTTTACACAACTCTTGTAACAACGTATAATAAAAAATTTAGTTTTTTACTAGGCATTTCTTAAAATCCATACATTAAGTACTTAAGTGGAATTCAATTTCTACCATTTTGTAATAACTAGATCTTACTACATTTCTTTTTTAGCTATAGGTACTTTAGATATATGTTGTATTTTATACGATATAGTAATAATAAAATATCACTATGAAAGCCTTAGTTTGTTCATACCAACTTGTTCCGTACTACATACCTACACGTTAAAATGTATATTTTTTCATTCGCTAGTAAACTTACAACAACAAGCCATCATAATAACTAGTTTGGAATCGATTTTAACGTTAAATAACATATGATTAAACAAACCACAACACCAACCATTCCACAATAATAATTAAAAGTATAAATATTTAAAAATAGTGCGCTTAGAAACACTAATAGTTTAAAATATGTTTTATTTATTTATAATGCCCGTAATTTTTTTAAAAAAATGTCTGCTATAAACGGCGGTTTTGTAATTTTTTTCAAAGTCGGTTAAAAATTAAAAATTATAACCGACAGTAATTCTATTACTAAAACGCGTATTTTACTTAACTGCTTTCTCGAGCCTTGGTTTTAAAACTGATTTTTTGAAACTTAGAAAATGTTTTTTTTTTTATAGTTACCGTTAACGGTGTAGTGCATGCATCAGCGATTATTTGTATTTGCGTGTCATGAGTGATTATAATAAATGTACATGTATACATCGTCTGTTAACCGGATTGTCATAATCTAGTTTTAATTACACAACTCGCATATTAGGAAAATAATAGAGAATATTATCTTGTATGCCGTCGCACTATTGTTTGAAGACCGTGTCATGTCGATCGACTGGGATAGATAAACAAATATATCAGCGTGAGCCGTAGATTCAATGTGAATGAATACCTCTACATGTAAACATGACTATCGTAGTGCATGGCGGCAGAAATGAAAAGCGTTTACTTAATGAGACGTTTACGTTTTTATATTATGATAATTATTATACTGATAACATAATTACACGGATAAAGAGTTATAGTTCAATTATGTCCATCTGGTAGACAGACTTTTTCTTTCAAGGTTATTTTAAATATATATTAAGTATTATACTTTCTCCGTTTGTGTCTACTCAAAAATGGCTTTCACTGTGTAAAATCAAACACTTGAGAAATGTTTTCCGTTTTAAATGCACTGAAGTGCCAATGAATGACTTGGATGATATTTACTACTAAAACGGACCTGTTTGCAAATTGGAATTTCACCCATCCCATCCATAAGTCGACGCCCAATAACGCATCAGCTGTCGGTGGAAATATCCCAAAAAATAGATCCCTTCGTAGGTAACAAAATTCTTATAGTAAAAAAACCCATTTAAACATACAATTCATTTATACATGGAGCTTGCATAAATTTGCTATATTGTTTTGAATAATATTGTCTAGCTTTGGCAAATTTTCCTAGGATTTTTATATTTTATGCCGTATATGTCTACATACTAACTATAGTAACTATAAGTTAATAGGTTTATGATAGACGTACTTGGTTTATTTTATAACATAATAATATCTTACGTAACGGTCCTTAATAGGTTTTTGACCAAACACACAATAAAGCACAACATTATTATTATTATTATGTATTGTTGCCATGCCACGTTGATGTACACCTTTTACTTGTATGTTTATGTATAGAGAGGTCGGTCTCGCAAAATGATTGTTACAGTATTCGAATTTTAATTCGGCCATTTTTTTAAATAATTACATTTTGTTTAAAAAGTTAGTGAAAACACTAGAACAGTCGTTCGCAGACTTACTGTACAAGTATGTACACCATGCTATGTGCTTCATTACCATAAAACAAAGGAAATGTTTGACCCTCATATCGCTCTTGCCAAACGGTCCATTCCGGTGGTCGTGACTTAGCTCTCGCTCATTTCTATCCTAAAACTACCAAAATTGCCGTTACGAAACCTTAACATTTGCTACGATCTAAGTATAAGTGTTTACAAGTGCAACAATAATATAATTTGGATTTTCGAAACACTAAGCAGATTATATCCTTTGTTTAACCTTTAGCTTACATAATGTTAACGTTCAAAATATAAATTCCCCATACCACCTCAAAAATCGTGGGGTCACCGTCGACCTAGGTCTACTGTTAAGTCATGTTCTAATGATGCGATAGCTTGAAGTCCGAAGACAATTATATTGTTCAATTCTAAGGGGCAACGATTATGTGAACTTTTTAACGAAATACAGTATAATACAATGTAATTGATTAACACAATTATTTAAGATTATATTACTCGCTCTTATGATGATTAGTATATTTTGTTCAATGAAATAACGTGGTCACGACCTCTCTCAAATCATTACCTGCCTATTGAGTTTTGTATTGTCAATTACAGTGTGCCGTAAGCAACAGATCGCCTAACCGTTAAGCGTTTCTTTGTATCAAACGTAATTGTTATCAAAAGTAGCGTTTTAACAATTAAACAAATATTTCATATTTGTTTCACACACGCCGGCATAAACTTATTCAGGATTTCGTCAAGGAGAAGAAATTACAAATTTATAGGCAACAACACACATGTGTGTAAAACATTTGTTATTATAGCAGTTATTGTGAATAATATGTTATTAAAAGATTCGTTTCAATAGGCATTTGTGTCCATTAGAAACAGAAGATAGGTCTTGAGTCAGACATAATATATTAAAATGTATAATAAAATAAAAACAAAAATTGTCTGTTAAAAGAATTTTTTGTTATATAAACACTAAATTGGTCTACTTATGAGTTTTGTATGCACTACAAGTTCAAAAACCAAAGCATATATCAAGCATATTTTTTTCTTAACCCTCGTCCCCCCCCCACAAAAAATAGAGCTTTTGTAAGCTGGCGATAGGCAACTTCAGGAATCGAGTACCACAAGTTCGACGTCCTACACTGTGCCATGCACCTTAATTTAAAATAAAACATTTTTGTTAATATTACGGAGAGTCATAGTCATTCAGGCTATTATTGTGCTGGTTGTTTTATCACTGAGAGGGTAATATCTGCCCCGTATAACGCTGCCCAGTGTCCAGTTAATTCCATAATAATAAGTAATTGGACTGAAATGTGAAACAATGTGAACAATTGAGATTTTATTAAGCATTATTATTTGTACATGCTTGTAGGTACACGTACACTACGAATAAGACTATGGATTATGATAGAATAATGTCAGTTATTAGATAATTATCCGCAGGCCATAACCGATTGTTTTTAAGAAGATTAACTGACAACAGGTGTGTAGGCATATCGATCGAAACTGGTCAATACGGAAACGACCGCCGGTAAAATCAGTTCAGTTTCCGAGTTGCGCAACCTTTGCCCAGTGCGGTGCGTTTCGTTTTCTATGTAACCGATATACATACAGTAAAAATTATGCAATACCGTCCAGGCCTGGCCATGGGGCATTTTGTTTCAACTTGGATCCGGGAGCAATGGATAATATCGTCGCAAGTCATGACAATTAATATAGGTGTGTTATATTTTTCTTAGCGTCTAATGTGTAAATATATTTGTTTTTCATTGTATATTTTTCACGCCCAAGCGCACTACCGGAGAAATATCGCCTTAATATATTTATATAATTATAATAAATTTCCACACCGAT